CCAACTTTTAAAAATTAGTATTTTTAACTTAAACATGTTTTTCCCTTGTCTTGGTCGTAGAGTTTAAAAGTTGTGTCAACTTCCTTTACACTCAACCTTCTTCCACCTCTTTAACAAAAATAGAAAAAAAGATTATTATTATTATTATCATCATAGTTTTTATTATTACTATTATTCTTATAGTTGTTATTATTATTATTATTATTATTATAGTTATAATTATTATTATTATTATAATTTAACAATACATTCTTTCTCTTTAATCTATCTTCATACCAGCAAAATTGCAAATATGACCTCATTTACATCATACTTTCTTTTCTTTAATAAATATTTTTTGTTTTTACCTCCTCCACTATATGGATACTGGGTGAGATGAGTGTCCTGTTCAGGTATGAGAGGAACCTGGAGAGAATATCCTGCCTAGGACGGATTTGGGTTTCAGCAATCTCTTCTCTCAACATAAAGGTCTGTAATTGTATCATTATCTTAGCAACATAACAATAATCAACTTTAGTAATCCTAGGAGAATATAAATTATTATCTTTTAAGCTCTAGACTTGAATTATAAAAGTGCAATGAGAGTTAAATTCTTGTGGATTATTGTATTATAATTGTTTATTTATTTAATGTTTTAAATGGAAGTGAAACAATTTCTTTCGTAAGAGATAAAATTTCTGAAGTTTTACTATACACAAAGATTTAAAGAAAGTTTTTGGCAAGTTAATAAACTTTCTGAAAGAAAAAAATGTTGCTATCAATATCATCAGGAAAGTTGTCTTGAAGTTATCAAATATCTTAAATTAAAACGAATAATGAGAGAAAGCTTCACGTTATAATTACGCTGAGACAAAGAAAACATCCCGTCCCGTCTGCCTTTTTAATAATTTATTCATTATCTTACCTCGTCGGATAGAATTGATCTCCAGCTGAAGAAATTAGTAACAGCTTCACGGAGCAGAATAAAATCCTTCTCTGTGTTCCATCCCTCCGGTAGAGACTCCGAACCTGGAAACTGGTTGGAGAGCTCAATACTGCTGTACTGTAGGATACAAGAGATTGGTAGAATGGCAGAACTGAATTTTGCTCTAAACTCGTCCGTAATAGTTACTCCGTTAAAGTTTAGCAGAGACTTAGACCCGTCCTTGCATAGACTTATATATCCGAGATACAAGAGGAGCAGCTTGATTACTTTTGCAGTAACCTGAAGAGACGGATCAGTGAGGTTTAGAAGATTCTTGATGAAAACGATCTCGGATTCAAGCTGGGAGTAGTACTCAGAGATAACCTTCCTCGCATATTCTCTTGGAAACAGAGGTCGTAGGATGGATTCAATATCAGCTCCATTAAAGATCTGGGGTAGATGATATACTGATGGTAAGATGGAATGAAACTGCTCCAATGCAAGAGTAAGGTTCTTGTCCTGAATGAATGAGAAATCAGCACCGCCTGACAGACAAACAGCAGTATCTGCCTCCTGAAGTTATTATTATTAGTTTATTATTATTGGTTTAATTTCATAAAATTAAGAAGTTAATTAAAACTGATCACTACAAACTTCTCTATACCTGCAGTACTTTTGTGACCAAATATTGAACACCACCACAAGGATGAACCAGCACTGCATCTATCCTGGTATATGTTGAGACGGGAAACTCTGTGAGTTTAATATCCTTGGTTCCAGGAAGGTTGGGGTTGGAAAGAAGTATAGCACTCACAGTAACACTGCCGAAATCAAGTTGGAAAACCAGGAAATCAGATCCCTTGTATATAACACAGGACTCAACCTGAGTTAAAAATTTAGGAAACTCGACCCTAATCAACTTGAGATAGTCTACACCTACAGAATCAACACACAAGAAATTTGTCAAGCATTGAATCCCGCTGGCAACATAACTCTTGCAGGTTTTCAGGATAGGATCTATGTTTAGGTTCAAAATATCCTGCTCCATGTATAACTTACAATCATGGAGTTCTCGGTTGGTTAGAGCTCCAAAGTTAACACTGCTTGCAAAGAAATCTACAATTTCATTCTTATCTCTTCTAATTCTGAATCCGTTAAATCGAACCGGATATCCGGGTTTCAGGAAGAGTCTAAGCTTGCCCTCTGCCATTTCTGGGGGAACAGGGTAGTCAATGTTTCTATACACACTCTGTCTGTGGAAGATCGCATGACAAGTTTTGTAAAATGCTCCGACCTTCTTCTCAAATCTGATAATACCAAATTCATCATCAACCAGTGCTAGGACGTAGCCTTTCTTCCAAACAACCGTCTTCTCACATTCAAGTTCAATCGGCTTGCAGATTCTCCCCAATTTATAATTAAATTCAACCTCTTGAAGGATCAGTTTCTCAGCAGGGCTCATGTCAGACTTCTCTATATACCTGACAACAGAGTGGAAATTTCGGAGCTTCTCTTGACAAACGTCCTCGATTTTATGAACCTCCGAGGAAGGAAGAATTACATACTCCAGGTCTGCAAGGTTAAGAGAGGAAACCATACTTGTTGCCAGAAAACGAACATTCCAATCCAGTGAGTTAACTTGTTCCCGCTCCACAGGAAGACAAAGAAACTTTATATAATCTCCGGGCTTTAGTAATTCTTTCAAGGATATCCCTGCCGTTGCACAAACAGTTGAACCAACCCAGACATCGTAGATATCAAACAGTACTTCAGCATGTTCGGGACCTCTCTCTCCTTTTACTTTGAAAACCGTTCCTACACCATAGTTCTCAGAGAGGATCTTTATAACTCTTCCTTTAGCGTACCTTACTGTTGTCCCATTAACAGGGTTAGTGAGTAGATTTTCGTAATAGTTCCTTACAAGCACGTTCCTAGCGCTGATTTCAGTCTCCAGTTTCAAGAAATCTCCAACCTTTTGGTTCAAGTTGAATCTAAGAGTTTCACTGCAGAAAAATGGAGTTTTTGTATTTGAGTTGAAGGAGCCAGGAGAAGATCTCAACACTGTAGGTCGTGATACATCCTTAGGAATCTTCTCCTCTGCAGAATGTTTTACAAATACTTGAACTGCCTGCAGAGTAAGAATAGAATCTGAACCAGAGTGCTGAGCAATTTTCCGAATCTCTACTAAAACCTCGGAGGGTCGCTCAAACAAAGTAATATTTCTAGCTCTCAGATCTACCTCAGTCCCAATAATTGACGAAATGATTGGTTTCAAGAGTCCCTTAAAGTGCGGAGAAATGATGACGTCGCTGATATGGAAAATGGCGAAGAGAAATCTGGTTGTTGTAACCTGACCTGGGATGGATATATCTGATCCATCTGATTTATTTATCTGAATAATTCCAATCTCAGAGTTTAATCCCAGGACTACAGAGGCCTTCCAGTTCTCTGGCAGGCAATCCAATGCGACCGCTACCAGAGATAGCTCCCTAGAACTGTTTAGGTACAAACAAGCAGATTTCTTGAACGCTTCATGACTATCATCGAGCTTTGACATTGTATGATAAATATTCTCGACTGATCCTAGCTCTGGTCCTAGGTAGACCTCGAGGTTTGGGGAATTATTAAATATTCCCTTTATCAGGAACACTGCCTGGTATCTTAGCTGGGAATAGGTATGTGCTGGTATTCGTCTAACATACACGGTAACAACACATCCTATTGGAACCAGGTTTTTCAATATTTTATCTGAATCCGAAGAAAGCTCAATATTTGTGAAATCATTAGATCCTGCATTCTTTATCCTGAGCTGGTGTAGACAGAAGAGAACTACAGAATCCTCGGAGAAGAGTTTTATGAGTCCAGACTTGGAATTTATGTGCTCCTGTACAATACCCTGGAGAGGAGCCTGAATAAAATCAGGATGAAGTAGAGGATGACAGATCAAGCTTTCCTTGGAGGGTGTAATCTGAAACACCTGAAACATATATTTTTCAACCTGTAGATTGAGCTGTTCAATGCTGTACACTTCTTGATAGTTCCGAGGATCATTTTGACTCATCCAGACCGCTGTAGCTTGTAGTTTAATTCCAGGGGTGTTAATAGCTCTAGCTCGGCAAACAACCTTGGTTCCAATAGGGATCATTTTCGTCAGATCTTTATGGCAATAGAGTTCCTCGAACCTATGGAGACCAATGACAGGGTGGTGAAGCCAGATTTGACTGATGCTGAACAGCATAGGAGCCTTCCATTTACCAATCTCCATAATTCCAGAGGTTTCATCGAGATATTGGAGAATAATTGCCTCCTTACCTGTGAAAACCTCCCTGAAATAATCTTTCTCAGTTTGGATATTGTTTAAATTCTTGTCTAGCCACTGCGTAGATCCAATAGATTGGACTTGATAACAATTATTTCTCTCAATACTGCCCACCTGTCTACTTCTCAACATGGATGCATCAGATTCAATTCTTCTGAAGCTTTGAATAAACGAGGAATTTTCCTTGCAGAAGATGGGGAAACGGGTTTCAAGTTTAGAACTAAAAACATCAAAATGATCAACCTTGAGGTGTCCAATAACAAGCTCGGACTGTGCATCATTGGATAAACTCTCAAAGTTAAATATATAGGAGCAGTTGGTAAACGGACAATGATAATGATCATTCTCAATATGCTTTGCGGTCATCTCCTCAAGGACCTCTGCCCTGAGATGAACATCAACAACATGCTGCCAAAACATTAAAACATTGTTAAGAATTATCCCACAGGTAGAGAATGGGCAGAAGACGGTGCAACCTAAACAAGTTGGTTTACTCACACTAGAGCTAGGAACTAGATGGACTAAGCTTGGAGCAAACATATCGTATACAGTGAGTAAGGTAGCTTGGATAGGAGTCTGAAGCTTTGCTTGAATATTCGGAGGAACATCGACCTGACCTGGCCAAACATTTGTTGCCATGTAAGGAATATTGTTGTTTGAGTTGACCAGCTTGATATTCACTTTAAACTGATGGCCGACCAGAACACACTTAGAGAATGTTTCCTCAGCTGATATTTTCGGCCAGAAGTTTAGGGCAGAGAATAGACAGTACACGGAGAACCCATTTATAGGAGAAAGTCTAATAAGTCCACATCTTGAAATATCTTCAACATGTATAACCTCTCCGAACCAACTATGCTTCCAGCTTGGAAGTTTTCCATTATAAACCGTTTTGAATTTATCTTTTTTCTCAATCTTCGTTTGATCAACAGGTTTCTTAATCTTATTTGCAACTTCCTTTGAATCAGAAAATAATTCTTTTTTTACAGTTGATTCAGGCTTGATCTCTTTTATACCTTGTAAAGATCTGGTTCTGGGTTTAGATTTAAATTTGAAGGACGGAGATTTATCCCTGGATATCTTGACGCTACTGGAGCACTTGTTGCAGGTGGAGAGACTTTGTATATTGATTCCAATACAATGTTTCGAATGAGAATGTAGGGTTTGAGGTTTTGATCTCGACCTCTCGGTTTCCTTCCTCGTCCTTGACCTAGATCTTCTCCGTGTCTCATCTCTAACACTAGAGATTAAAAATATATCTCAAATAATTATTAGAAGCTTATAACTTCAAAAACATTTTACGAAAACCAAAAAACAATGAATTTTTAAATATTCTCTTTTTTTATTTCCTTATTGAAAGGTTTTATATTTTAATTTTTATTTAAAAATGTGCCTCCAACATTTTTAGAAATATTTCATTTATAACAATTAAAAATCAAGAAATTCTTTGCAATGTTTCTAAAAAAAATTATAAAAGAGAAAACAAATATGACATTTATTCCACATTTTTTTGGTGATAATCAGAAAACAATGGAATAGGGAGACGACATCTTAGCTGTAATTAAGCGGATTTGATGGTGTTACAAAGCAAATGGTTTTACTAGGCACTTATTAAATCACTAATTTAGTGAAATGGGTCTGTTTACCCTGCACAATTGCTGTGTCTTTTGAGGGGAGGGAGGCCAGCCACAACAATTTCTCGTCCGAGCCACATTCTCCTCATTTCCTAGTCCGAGCCACCTTGAAATCCTTGTCCTTCGCTTATTATGTTTTTAAGTTTCTAATTCTTAAAGAAAAATCTATCTTTTAAAAATTAGGCCACGTTAGGGCATAAAATATGGATAGACTAAAGTATTGCAATGATTACAACTTGTTGAAATCTTCAAAGCCGTGAGAATGATGTCAAACTTTATTTAGATGAAACTTAAATCTCTTCTGCCTCCATAATGGCTAATCTTTGTGATACAAAATAAATAGCAAAATATTTGGCATACATTGCCTATAATTTTCCCCATGGAACCACCCGAAAAAAATCGATGGTTTTCGTTATAATTAACAAAAAAGATTGAAGTTCTATAAACTTGGAATTTTTTGCGGCATTCTACATCTAGATTATAGGTAAATATTTTTTAGGACATTGCACTTAAAAACTTTTTCGATTTACAAAAATTTAATATTTCGTTTATGCTCTAACGTGACCCGATTCTTAGAAAATAGATCTTGGAGAATTGAACTCTTTAAAAAGATAATATTCGAAGGACCAGGATTTCGAGGTGGCTCGGACGAGAAAATGAGAAGAATGTGGCTCGGACTAGAAATTGTTGTGGCTGGCCTTCCTCCCTTCGTCTCATGCTCATTAGACTTTTAAAATAATAACTTTATTCTAAAAGTCGTCTCCCTATTTCAGAGTTTTCTGGTTGTTATAATAGGATACCAAAAAGTTTCCAGATTATCAATTTAATATTATATATTATAAAAAACATCATTTTATACTGATATATATAATTTTAAAAAATCATTAAAATCTATAAAAAAAACCAATTGACACTCAAATCATCATTTTTATTAATATTATTTTACTTGCTTAAAATATATCTATAATAATTAAACAAGATATTCGTATATATGTTCCCTCTGGCCGTCAAACGGCTGAACCAATTGGCCTGATTTTTTTTTGTGGAATAAAAAATTAAAATTTTTTAAAAAATCGATTTTTAAGAATTTCACGGGCAACGCAGGCAGCTAGTCTATATATAAATTTGGCCTTTCTGTCTGTTTGTTTGTATCCAATAAACGTCAAAACGGCTGAACCGATCGTGCCCAAATTTTTTGTGGGACCTCATGTGGCCTTAGGTAAGGTTTATGAATGATCAAAATTTAAAAAAATTGTGTTTAAAAGTTTTTCATTTTTGAAAAAGCGCAAAAAAAAGCGCAAAAAAATATTATGAAATCCGCAAACTTTTTTTGTTCTTTGTTTTATACTGTACAAAGAGAAGATGTTCGGAGATAAAACCACAATTAAAAGTTGAAATAGAAGACATTTAAAATATATTGTTAAATATTTCATTATAGTTTACTGGCAAATATTAAAAAAAATTTAGAGATAAAATTGTTCCTTTGCCGATATATTTCTATTTTCAGTTGATCCTTTCCAGCAAACTTCAGTTTCCGGTTTTCATCTGTCTCTTTTCTTTTATTCTTGTCATCATGGACCTCTCTATATTTCTTAACTTCCTTTTTTACGGCGATTCTAGTCCTGCTCTTTCTCGAGATCTTACCGACTTTGTCATCTTTCTCGCTTCTTATCTCTTTCAGATCTTCTTCATCTTTTCTCTTCCTCTTCCCCATAGCTTTCTTTATCTAAACAGGGGAGAACGTTAAATAATCTCTCTCTTAATTTATAGACAATAAATCTAAATGGTATAATTCGAGGATAAGGAAAGAATGGTTTCGCGGATTTCATAATATTAGAGCGCATATCACATAATTAAACAGCATCTTTTTAACTTTGAACAAACATTAAAATCCAGTATTTAATGATCCGGGCGGGGTACACTGGAATCAGAGGCGTATTCAGGGGGGGGGGGCTAAGCCCCCTGGACAAGTGAAATCTATTGATTTTATAAAATAAAGATATATATCTATTATTAGTAGCACCCTTAATACAGAGGCGATGTTGTTAACTGACTTCTATTCCTGAATTCAAATCTCACAAAAATAATTTTATTATTTAAATCATGAATATTGAACAAATTTACTGCTCTATACATTTTAGCATAGTTGGCATAATTCAAATATCTAGAGACACCTGATATTTCAAACTATGAATTTTTAGATCAAATACTCTGAGTTTGAAATATCAAAAGTTTACACTTTCAAGTTGCAAAGATATACCTGATTAGAAAACATCATTTTGTGTCAAGAATTCAGTTTCTTTGTGCAGAAATTTGACAAAATCTTTCATTTTTTTTCGAGTTTTAATTTTCACTTAAAAACCTTGCCACAACTAGAACTTACCAAAAAAAAAGATTGGTAAACTTCTCTAAATCTCTTTTTGGTTTTATAATTAAACAATTTCACTTTTGAATTAAACCTTTTTAACCTGTAACAATAATCTTTTCTATCGACTGTAGCTCGTACAAATAACCGGTTCGTTGTGTACGTATACTTTACGTACTGTACAGTGTACAATGTAGTGTACTTTTAATCTGAGGGGCGTCTTAACTCCAGCTTAACTTATGGCAACGATGAATTTTATTTTCCAAATTTATTTCGTATTTGTTCTACAGCGAAACAGTTTTGACAGTTTGTTAATTACTTTGGACTCATTTGGAGATTAATTATTGCCAAATTAACCGTAACCCTATCCCGATTGGGCTATAGTTGTCTAATATAGATTGGTTTATTTGTTAATTACTTTGGACTCATTTGGAGATTAATTATTGCCAAATTAACCGTAACCCTATCCCGATTGGGCTATAGTTGTCTAATATAGATTGGCCTACCCCCCCAATGATAAGTGATAAATGTCCCCAGTCCCACTTTTCAAGGCCTCCTCATTAAAAAAAGTTAGACCTCTAACTTATGGTTAGGGTGCAGTAAGAGAGGATTTTTAAAAAGTTCAAAAAGTATGTTATTGTATCCATTTTTCAATGCCTTTACAAATATATAAGTCTTAGCCCTGTAGCAATTTAAAATTTTTTTTAACCATTTGATTTTTTTTGAAACTGCACCGACCTGCCGCTTGACCGTCCTCCACCCTAATTCTTTTTAGCAAAATTTGTTCACAATTATGATGTTGAAAAAGTGAAGAAGTTTTAGCGTTCTATAATGTAAGCCATTTTTAAGCTATTTAAAGAAACCACAGGGGAGGGGGGTTCCCCCATCGTAATAGGGTTGAGAAAAGACTTAATTGATTGTTCCGAGTTTATGGAAATGAAAAAAAAGTTCCGAAAAAAAAACTGGAAATAAAAATCTGTGAAATTTTGAGAAAATTGTAACTGTAAATTTAGTCCTGTATCCCTGGGATCCTAGAAAAAAAGTCAAAACTCACAAAATGATACGACTTTATTTCCAAAATACTTTTTATAATGCCAAATTTTAGGAATCTATTGGCTGTTACCAACAATTGACAATACAATTTTTTGGAAAAAAACTGGATGTTTATGAAAATTTCGCATTTACAAATTTCTTCTGCTTTTTCAAATTGATTAACAATTGGTTTATAACTTTCATTATTTTACAATATATGTAAAAAATCTAAGAAATTTTACAAGAAAAAAGATTTTTCGGAACATCTTAGAGACTTGGATTGGTTTAAGCTACAAGCGTTCTATATACGTTGATCAGGGGGATCAGGTCGGGCGACCTGATCGGATCGTCAAAGATGAAAAAATGTTCCCGAAAAAAATGTCGACATTGGTTTTTTAAATGCGCCTTTTTATTCAGAAAATAATAAACCAGCAAAAAAATAAGAACTATTAAAAATGGCGAGTTTTAAGAGCAACAGTTAAAAGCTAAAATGGTTCATAAGAGAGCGCCCTTAAAGCTTAGTGTATAAAGACTTCACGCCTCTTTTCTCGTAACAATATTAGCTGTTAACCGTTGCTCTTCTAACTGCGATTTTCTTGAGAAATCGTATTTCGTGGATTTTTCATTTATTTGCGCATTTTCAAAAAAGTTTAAGTTAGAATTTTATACTGTTAACCATCCATAAACAATCCCTGAGGTTATGTGAGCTACCCGATTTGTTCAGCAGTTTTTATGTTCATCGGATACAAACAAGCAGACAGGCAAAGTAAATAATACTAGATTTTTAGGGCGGTTTGCGCTCCCTTACCTATTAAAAATATTAGCTTAGAACTCTGAAAGTCGCTATTTTTAAACGTTCTCGAACTGTCGCAGATTTTCTGTTTAAATTTGTGCATTTTCAGAACAAAAAAATTCTACATTTATTCCAGGCAACATTTTTTAACTTTCACCAGCTATAAACCTCCTCTGACCGTTCGAGTTGACTAAAAAATGCTGGGCTCGATCGGTTCAGTCGTTTTTACGTTTATTGGATACAATTTCACAAACAAACAAACAGAAAACTGACACAAAGTAAATATATATATATATATATGCTATTGCTTATGTAATTTGCTTGAATTGTATGGATTTAATGAGCTTGATATTTTTTGTTTCTTTGAGCACATCTAGACTGTTGCACATATAGTCGTTCTTATGGCAGTTTCAAAACTCGATAACATTGTGTGTTCAAATATCAATATAACACTATGTTAATAATTTCTTAATTTATATGAACACCGCTACCTGAGCCGGCGATTTAAAAACAGTAATTCAGTAATACAGTTAATGTGCAATCAACAAAGGTACCCTTACAGAAACAATTGAAGAAATTATCAATTTTAATATCTAAAAAAAGACAATTACGTTTACATTTTTGCTAAAATAAAGGTTACCGTTCCGAGTTGGACATGCCCCCATGGCCCATATAAATAGAAGATTACTTGAAATTACAAAGACAGTTCCTTTGAGCTGATTAAAGATGCAATAATTCAACAAAAAATCAGGAAAAGTCTTTATTCCGGGATTTTATACAAAACCCTTTTTCAAAATATCAGCATCTTATTGATAGTAAATACAGTCTAAAAGTAGGAGAGAATACTAATAATATTCAGCATATACAGGGCTAGTATTTGATTGTTCACCAACCACCACTCGAGCAACATTATCTCGTTTTACATTATATCTATTTTAAGCTTGCTCTGGTTTAAACTCTGTTTAAAATGTTCATGACACTCCGCATTTTCATGAGAAACCCATTCTTCATATTAAGGTTCAGAGAAGGGGTAGAACTTCTCCACCAAAAACTTGTCCAGATACTGAAAATAAACAAGAATAAATCGTCTATAAAACTTACTTAGCTTTCTATTCTGAACGCCCCCCCCCCCCCCCCCCAAAAAAAATAGGTCCCTCATAATAAAAATAAACATGTTCAAAACAGTATTGTTTAAAGAAAGCCTTTGTATCAACCCAAAATAGAAAGTCTAAATTAAATTTGTTTGTTAAATTTATTGAATAACGAGAAGTAGTTGAACTACGTAGACTAAGCTGAACCTCTTTTCCAGAAGAGTGTTAAAAAAATCAAGACAAAATTTTAGTTAGTTTCTCTCTCTCCCTGAAATGGGGAAAATAATAATTTTAAAAAAATGAAAATTACTTGGTTTTCAGATTCCCCCCCCCCCTTTGATCATCAAAAAACATTTCCCCCATTCTCCATTAAATTTTATCTCTAGTTACCTTGGGAAACTGTTGGTATTTAGCTCTAAACCTGCTTGCTTGAATCCTCAGCTTTAAAATCCTATTCGCTAGTTTCCTGGATCCGTCCTCATTTAACGCGGACTCGTCAGGACGAAATCTAACCGGGAGTAACTCAGATACAAACCTGAACACAAAGCAGTCTTAACGTTAACGAACTGTTCAAAAATATCTAAATATGTAGTTCAGTCATATATGGTAAATTCAGGTGACTTAAATTATCCCGAAATAGAGATATATGGTTTGCTAATTTCAAAATAGGGTTCTAACAAATGTTATGAAGCCATTTTTGAGAAAATAATTTTTAAATACTAAAAATTCCAGGGTTGGCATAAAAACCCAGCCCAAAAAAACCCACCCAAAAAACCCACTTCTTTCTTCAAGATAAAGTCTACTATCAACTGTATTGATTTTTAGGAGTTCACAGCACTAAAACTGACACATTTTCTAACACTAAAAACCAATGATCTTAACAAAATGAATATTGTTAGAATATTTAGTTATTTCAAAAAAATATTTTATTAATTAAAGTAGTCAACCTTGTCACTCTGGACTTCAAGACGGTTTCTGGTGTTAGAAAGATATTGAAAACCCCAAGAAGATACACAGAACTACATCAGAGTTTTCAAAACTTGATGCGATAGAACAAGGATATAAAATCCCTTTGTAATATTATGTTTTTCGGAATTAAACAGTTGTCTTCCTTCTTGAGCGATGATGCGGATATAAATATCTACCAATTAATCTGAGTAGCCCCACCCCAAATCAGAAATATGTATACAAGTAAGAAAATAGAATTAGTTTGTTTGTAGAACTATAATATCAAAAATTGCAGTTATGAATATGGAAGGTGATATAATTGTTTTTGAATAGTATTTATATATGAGTATAGCCTATCATCACAACAATAAGATAAGATAAGAATCTAAAAACCCTTATCATAACAATAATATTATTTTTCATAACTAAAAAGTTTATCTACTGCTTAAATAGTCTTGTTATAATGAAATATTATGAATTTTAGTAGGTTTTAACTACTTTCAAAAAGAAAAATACAAAAAAGCTCAGAAAACCCCAATAAAACCAACAGAGCTGTTTTTCAAACCCAGGTTTTTCCAACCCTGAAAAAAATTCGCAAATAAAAAGTTGCCAACACTGTACAAAGAATATAGGGCAAGTAGAGGCCTGAAGGCCTGGTAGTAATATGCAGAAGATATACTAGGCGTACAGGGCTCTTCGCGCTCCCGTTCCAAACAATTTTAGCGTTTAATAATTGTTCTGAAAGTCGTCATTTTTATCGTTATACAAAAACTTTTATTGGATACAGACAGACATATCAAAAATATGAAATAGATAAAGTGAATATGTATTGCTACCCCTACCTGGCTAGTATAGTATTAGGTAGGTTCCCAATTGATGTAAGATGGAGAAGATCTATTGCTAATCCCTTCCCAATATTGTCCTCATCCTAGGGTAGATTATTATTAGAACAACAACTTCAGAAAATGTTTCTTAAACCAAAATATTGATAAAAATACTTCCATTTTTTCAATTTTTAACATATTTAAATCTAAATATTCGTGACATTCGTGGATTAACAGTCAGGATCCAAGTTAAAAATTAGCGCATACAAAAATCAAAACAATTTTCAAACTTAATTTGGTTAGTTTTTTAGTTTGTTTTTGAAAATATTTTCTCTCAGGGTTCAAATTTGAAATAGTGCAAAAAGAGCAATTGTTTAAAATAAACAGTTTTATAATTTGTAAAACTTGAACTTCTCAAAATGTTTTGGAACTTTTAAAATAACAAAAAAAAAATAACGAAATTAAATGATAGCACTGACCCAACACGCATAATAAAAATCATAATTCGAAGAATTCGAACTAACCGTCTTCAGTTTCCGGGGTATCTTCAGATCCAGCATAGACTGCGCTGTAATTCCAAACATGGATGAGAAATCACCTATTTCAGGACACACATTCCGGGATATCAACTGAAACACAGAACAGTATATATGATTATATATACGGGTATTAAGGGGCAATATCTTAATTCGTTTCCTAACCCTTGTTAAGTTTACGGCAGTGCTTAGGATCCATTTAATTTTGATGGGGATCCGGATCCGTAGATCCGCATATTTTTGCGGATCCGGATCCAGGAAGCCAAAATCTTGCGGATCCAACGGACCCGGATCCGAATCCAAGGCACTGGTTTACGGAATCGTAAAAGGCACGACAAAGGATCCTACATTTCAAATTTGTTTTCTGTAAAAGTTTGCTTTTATAAAACTATGCAGAATATTTACCCTATGAAAAATATCAATAAAAAACTCAACAAAAAACCATCAATTCAAAACGATCGTTTTAGGTTCGTTGTTTTGCATTATAAGTTTAAATGAAAGCAAAACGTTTAGAATTTAAAAATTTGTAAACTGCTCAGATATTTTTAAAATATTAAAAACAAAGCTATTGCTTATTAGTATACACAGAATGCCCCACATCAACTTAAAGCGCGCTATAACTCTTATTTTTGGGGCCATCAAAAGAATGATTAAATCATAATTAAAGTTTGTAAAGAGGTGACATGAAAATTAGCATGCAGAGTTCTTTAATTATTAATTAAATTATTAATTAATTAATTAATTATCCAGAAATGGAACTACCCGTACTCAAATACCCTAATCTTTATTCATTAACTCCCAAATCTTTTTAAAACGATAATTTCATGGAAGAAGAAAATTCCAGACATGAAGAAATTCTTTTAAATAAAACATTTACCAAGTGATACATGGGATCTGTGACTTCTTCTTTAATTTTCATATTTGGTTGCAGAGGATAGCTGGACAGACAGGGTGCAGGACTACTATTTTCCTGCTTTATATCCTGGAGTAGACTAGTTTCCTCCAGCTTTATATTCCGGCTTCCAGGATTGGAGATTGCTGGTTCTTCAGCAGCAATATCATCATAGGAGGAGCATCCTGCACCTTCTCCATTCTGATCAAATATATTCTCTGAACTTTTAATTCAAAGAACAAGAAAATCCAGATTTTCTTGTTTGTGGCACACAACTATATATATATGAATAATTGAATAAGACTTTTAGGGATATCCTACTTCCATACTACCGTCTTGAATGTTCTTTACTAATACATGACTAACATGACTGAAATATCTGTAATTACTAATTAATATACCTCGAAAACTGCGTTGACGATCACATAATCCGCCTGCTCTGAACCACTCTGTTCTAAACCATGGTTAGAGTAGTCCACAATACTGATCATCTGTAAACCATCCTTCTCCATATTCTCTCCGTTCTTGCTGGACTTATCCGCTCCGACCTGGTCACGTGAACTGAAGAATTCTATTTCCTTTTCACCTTCTTCTTGAATATTTGTTTCAATTGTTCTCAAGCATCCATTCTTCTTAATCTCAACACTAGAACTCTCAGCTTCAATACTTTTCCTCTCCGTCTGTTAATAAACAAATTAAAGTTATTAAGATTAATCTATTTAAGACTTACTCTAGGGTCAGTTATAAAGTAAAATGCCATATGATATTTTTCCTTTATATCTATAATATTTAACAACTTGAACTTTACACAAATATTCAAAATAATCGCACCTTCTTTAATCTTTATCCTACAAAATAGAATAACTGTTACCTTTATTTTCGTATACACCGGTTTCTTGCTTTCTCGGCTCTTCCTTCCCCTTGTTGTCTTTACAATGTGCACGGTTGGTTCCAAGCTTTCATCGTCGGAATCCCACTGGGAATGCGTTGTTTTCCTGTGTTTGTACAACCATTTCTCTTGAACAAAGCTCTTCATACAACCCGGATACGGACAGGTTAGATTTGTCTCCGAAGTATATTCATCAGGTTTGGGTTTGAGCTTATGCCCGGAGTTGAGATGATATTCCAGCTGTCTAAAGTTATAACACTGGTAATTACATGCTGTACACAGGAAATCCTTCTCTGTCGTATGCTCAGCTAGATGCTCATCAAAGGTTTCCTTTTTACAAAAATATCTGGTACACTTTTGCACAGGACAACTCAAAATATCGATGTCATGGTTCATCATGTGTTTTAACAATTGTTTTTCTCGGTAGAAGGATTCTCCGCATAAATCACATGTCAGGGTTCCAGATGGTTCACTCGGAGTTACAAGCTCGGACTCAGATTTGTCCAGTTTACAGGGATGATCAGAATTAATATCTCCATGCTCTCCAACAACATCAAAACTATCATCGTCCTCATGTTCTCGCTCAGCATGGATCATTAGATCCTCCTGGGAGGAAAATTCTTCAGTACAGCTTACACATGAATATAGTTTGAGCTTGGAGTTATGTTCTTTTCTATTGTGCTCTTTGAAACCATCCTTAATCGTAAACCCTGCTTTGCACCCCTCACTAGGACAGAAAAAGGGTATCTCGGAGTGAGTGTATAAATGATTTTTAAATTTGATAAATTCGCCAAATATTTTTCCACAATTATCCGCATCACACTCCCACTCAGTGGTCGGAGAGGAACTGACGGATTGAACAGTCTTGTTCTCCTGGTCCCCCTTTGCTTTGCAATTAAGAAAATGATTAGATAGAAACCTCGGAGCTGAGAATTCCTTTCCACACTGACAAGGATAAGTTCTAGGTTCTGGAACCTTCTCCAGGCACTCTACATAGTGAAGAACAAGCTCAAGTTTAGTATCAAATATATGCATACAGCGTCCACAGCTCGGACCAAACATATCCTTCTCCGGGACAGTTTTAAAGTGCTCCTCATACAGGTGGGAGTCAAGCTTAACCTTGGAGAGAAATAATTCATCACATTTTGGACACGTGACCGGTACTATCGGTTCATCTAGGTGACTCGCTTCTTTGTGCATTTTCAAATACTTGGGACGAGAGAATGATTTGTTACATAGATCGCAATTATGTTTTGCTTCGTTATCCTGAAAATAAGTATTTTCATATTTTTACCATTTTTAATAGTTTAATTCAGTGCTTAGGATCCGCAAGATTTTGGCTTCCTGGATCCGGATCCGAATCCAAGGGGTAAAATATAAACCAAAAACTACAATTACTCCTAAAACCCAACTCTGAACTTTTGAAAAATAAGAGATTGTAAAAGTTACCTCATTTCTGAATGGTTCATCAAGTTTTAGGATAAAAATAAGCGAAAAAAATAAAACAAACACTTTGAAAATTATGTTATGTTAAAAAAATCAGTAAATCTTAAAGAAATATCCTGGATCCGGATCCAATTTTTCCAATGCGGATCCAGGATCCGGATCCGCATCAAAATTAAATGGATCCTAAGCACTGGTTTAATTCTTTAAATTACCTGGGAAGGCGAGTTTCGTGCAGAATTTCTCTCCCGGAGACCTTGTTTCCTCGGGGGCTTATTTTCATTCCGGGATCTTAGATAACTCACGTTCTCTGGGTCTTGTTTGATAACCTTGATACCATCTGGTAGCTTGACGTCAGGTTCGTGTTCTAATTTCACGGAGTGGGTCACAGTGTGTTTGTTTAAACCCGCTAAAGATCCGTAAACCTTGAGACAGACACTGCAGGTGTGCTTTTCATATACTTGACCAGTCTCAGGATTTACAAGTAAATTTTTTGTAGTTTCAGATCTTAGATTTTCAACACCCTTGTTCTCCTGCAAAATGGAGGATCGACTACGCTTCGCCTTTCGTTCGTAGAGAACAGAGAACTCTTGGCTCTTCTTCCTCTTTCCCATCCTAAGACCTTGTTCACGTCCACCCTCGGGCAACACTAGAATAATAAGAACATTTTATTATCGTACAGATTAAAACTAAGTTCCTTCATGCAGATTATTATCAAAATCTATTCTCTCTATTGCTAAAAAAACAGGTTGGCAGGGTAAATCAAGAAGAAAGAAATAATTAAGACTTGTTAATACTCAGATATTAATCAATTATGGAAATTGATCTGTGGTCGGTTTAAACAGAGACAAAATATATACCGGTTAGGTTTACCTTCACGCACGCATATTGGAAGAAAAATAATAAAATACAACTACCAGTGCTAACATAAACATTACAAACATTCAACATCTACAGGCGAAAATAATTTAGATTGGAAGAACGGATATATTTGTATTATAATATATAAATAATCGTTTTTCTGCAAAAAGAAACACGCGTCAATCATATAAGTTTAGCTAAATATTGTACACCTAACAGTCACATGTAATCTGATACTCACTGATCATTAACATATTTACCAGGAATCGTGTACTTCTGTGCTGTACTGCCCTGTTCCTCATCTGATGAACTAGGACGCTCACCACCGGACTCATCTTCACCATCGTCATAGTCTACGCCAATACAGTGGCCAAGAAGCTGTTCAGTGTTCCTTCCCGGAATCCAATCGTGGCCAACTCCATGCCCTATATTCTCTGAACCTTTCCATCCAGATTTAAGTCTATTTTCAGCACCTTTAAGTCCGTGTTCAGCACCTTTAAGTCCGTGTTCAGCACCTTTATGTCCATACTTTGCACCTTTATGTCCATGTTTAGCCCCCAGTCTTCCATTCGTGGCTCCCTTCCATCCGTGTGATGCCCCTTTCCATCCATGTTTAGCCCCTTCCTGACCCCAGAGTTTCCTGGCTTCGCGAATTGGGATTATTTCTCCTTTGTATTCTACCAGGCCTTGCTGACTTAGCATTTTCTTAAATTCCTTAGCTCTCTCCCTGGCTATTCTTTTTTCCGCCATTGCCACCCTCTTCATCTCTCTAATCTCCCTGTTTGTCGGCATGGCAGTAGTTTGCACTGAAGTCCTTATTTTTTCATTTTTAACTGAATCATCAAACGTCTTTGAAATCTTTGCGAAGCTTGTTCCCAGGAGAACGCATGTTCTAGGATCAACTTGATATCTGTATTCTCCCTACAGAAATATTTAGTAAAAATAAAACTGTAAATCACAAATGTAGTTTAACGTGAGGAGAGTTATTTGACTTAAGATTGAAATTCATCAATGTAAGAAAATTAATTAAAATCCCCTATCTCAATATCAAGTCTGATCGTCGTAAAACATTTTTGGGTCCTCCACCGAGGGTGGCTGCTCTCGGGGCGTTATGGAATTGCTCCCAGGTTTTTGAGTAAAATGTGAAAATTTATCCAACCTTCTTTGAAAAGGGGTTTAAAAAGACTACGTTTAAACCGAAAATAAAAAAGGCACTGCTGACCATTTTATATTCTCTTCGTTCAGATATTTGCAGAAAAAAATCGTAAATTTCAGTCCAAATAGCCTGTGGAGATCATATAGTTTTCATTAGCCAAACTACTGACGACATTTGTTTAAGCCACGGCCCGCTTATAGATATGCTTCTAGTAAACAAAAATTTATTTTATTTAGCTAGATACATAAAGGTTTTATTTGAGCTGGTCTAATACATCTCAATATTTTTATACGTTATCTTATTTCCAAGTTTTATTCCAGAATAAAAACAATTTTTCGCTTAAAAAATCTTTAATTGATTGCTGCCATTATATCTAGCGAAAAAAGGATTTTTTTTTTGTTTACAATTAACAATAATGTTTAATGTATAAGCTAAACCAAATGTCGTCAGTTTGGTTAATCAAAATAGCTGAGTCCGTCCTAGTATACGATTTTTGGGTAGCAGTCCCTTTTTTATACAATTTTTGATTTGAAATACCCGTTTTAATATACTCCAAACCCTGAGAGCAGCCACCCCTACCTTCTCCACCCATACTTAAACGATGTCCAGTTAAAAGAAATCTCGATATTCACAAATCATTAAGGCACCGCGCCCTACCCATTAGCCAGTGTTCAGCCACTGTGTCTGTCTAAACCGCAACCAAGAAAATGTCTAAACCTATCGTTTCACATCAAACTTGACTCAGCATATTAATTAGAATATACGATTTAGATTTACTATGCACATTTGACAGGAGGGGAAGAGGCAAATGAGGACGGAATTATGTCTGAATGTTTTCGAACGAATGAAGGGTACACCGCGGCCCGGAGATGCTACAAGATCGGTATTTTTTTATTTAGAGGAGTTGGACCTAGTTCCGCATGTAAAAACGACGGCACAAATAGCGTCTTCCTTCTAGTTCTTAGCTATATATATATATGTCGAACTATCAAAAGAACTGAATTATATAAGTAAAAACCGGTTTTCAACTGCTCACAAATTCATATTAGAAATTTATCAGTTTGCAGTTGTAAGTAACCGCGTTATAAAAGGGTCAACGGCATTATAATTAATACACAAAAAAATCATTATTGAATCTTAAAAAACTAACCTAACAAGAACTGCAGTACAATGTAGTTTAAATAGATGACAAACAGGTTGATTTGTAGTTTGAATGAACTGTATGAACTGCAAAGTGTTACAGTGTATACACTGCAGTGGCGCAAAATTTTATGATTCAGAAAATCTTACGGCATTATTTGGGTCGTCTTTGTTCCAAAAGTTAATCTAGCCAAAACCAAAACTTTACTAAGCAAAAAAATAGTTCAAATGAACAAAAATATATAGTTAGAATAATTGCTCATTCGAAAATATTTTTTTTGGTTCATTGAGTACTATTTTTTTTTCTCATTTGAACTATATTTTTTTGCTCATTTGAAAGCTATTTTTTGCTCATTTGAACAATTTTTTGATTTATTTGAATTATTTTTTTGCTCATTAGAATTATTCTTTGCTCATTTGAAAGTTATGTTTTGGTTAATTTGAACTTGAAAGTAATTTGCTCATTCGAACTACTTTTCTTCTCATCTGAACTATTAAATGCTTCATATGGTCAGTAGAATTATTTTTATGCCTATATGTGAAATATTTTTTGATCATTTAAACTATTTTGTGACGACTGTTTGACCTATGGCATATTTAATAGTTAAAATGTGTTGTTTGAATCACAGGAAATGACATCATTATCAGAAGTTAGAAGTTAGAATGAACAATATTTCAAAGTTCAAATGTTTGATAGTTCAAACGGCAGAAGCTTAAATGCGGATCCACCATTCTAACTCATCCATGATACATCTAACAACCTTGAAATCATCCTGGAGAAGAAAAAATGTCATCAAATTTATTATCAGAAAAGAATATCACATTTTCTTAAACACAATTTTCACACTGTTCCATTGAGACCGTCAGGTTAAAAGTCGTGTCACTCGAATGAAACCTTTTGCAGTATGCTGGCGTAGGTCCGATATTGCAGTAGGTCGGAAAGTTAGTAGGTCAGAAGTTCAGTAGGGGGGATGTTGCGTATAGACGATGTAACATTACCATATATAGTTAAAATAATTGCTCATTCGAAAATATTTTTTTGGTTCATTTGAGTACTATCTTTTTTTACTTATTTGATCTAATTTTTTCTCATTTGAACTATCTTTTTGCTCATTTGAAAGCTATTTTTTGCTCATTTGAACAATTTTTGATTCATTTGAATTATTTTTTTGCTCATTGCTCATTTGAAAGTTATGTTTTGGTTAATTTGAACTTGATTGTAATTTGCTCATTTGAACTACTTTTCTTCTCATCTGAGCTATTAAATGCTTCATTTGGTCAGTAGAATTATTTATATGTCTATATGTGAATTATTTTTTGATTATTTAAACTATTTTGTGATGACTGTTTGACATATTGCATATTTAATACAGAGTGTCCCACTTCAGATTAGACCGAGAACGGGTCTAAACTAAGATTTTCGGCACTAATTAGAAAATTTCATTAGAATGAATCATTTTGAAAATTAACATAAGGCTTATATAAGAATTTTCTTGCGGAAAATGATAAGTTTTTCGAGTATTAAGGGTTTATTTTGGTGTTAAAGATTGGAGATAATCTAANACATTTTGTTAAATGCATTCGGATACATTGTTGATTTATTTCTTGTAAAAAAGTGAGAAAATCCGCGAAAATAAAAAAAGTGATTTTTAACCATCTTAACACGCAGCGCAGATTTTAAAATTGGTTGTTATGATATCTCTAGACATGAATGTATCTACTGCAAAAGGTTTCATTCGAGTGACACGACTTTTAACCTAACGGTCTCAATGGAACAGTGTGTTTTAAATATTATTTCTCCAAAAGGAACATATTATAGAGAGTTCGACAGTCCTCTGTAGGAAAAGATGGAACGAAGTTGACTCCAACAATCCCTGTAATACCTTCAGAGAGGGACGGTTCTTCGTATTTACTCCTGTATTCAAGATATTTCAAGATATGCCATTTATAAACTTAAATTGGTACCTAATTGGTACGTAATTAGGATCCCCATATGTCATATGTTGGATTATTGTGAAGCTTTAACGCTAATATACATTCAGAATACTTAAAGAACCCCGTATTTTCTGCATGCAAATTATTCAAAAAATTTTCGATTCTTTACATTTTTCGTTTATGTCCCAATCTCAATTTAGATTTATAACCTTTAGTTAAATTTTGGAATTAATTTCACAATTCAGGTCTCTTCGAATTCAAATGAGACATTAAAAAACAAGTAAATTTTCTAAATTGAGATTTTAAAATTTCTGCTTTTAAAATTTTGCTAATATTTAATGTATTCAACTCAGCCGCTTAAATAAATAAGCGGTGATCAATCAATCAATATTCTAAAATATACATTGACAAGAAAATAAAATTCTAAGGCCGAAAAGAGGAGTGTTTTATAAATTTCTAGATCAATATATTGATTTTAAAAATCTTTGAAGGAACAAATCTTGCAAATATTCCTGTAGCTGTTGAACAACATCTCGTTGATCTTGGTGTGCTCAGAGTCCACCAACTCTCTGTACGCATTATTGTGCCTGATTAAGAGGAGAAAGTAAAACATTAACATTATGTTTTTAAAAGAAATTACCTTCCCACCCCCTCCCCTTTTTCAAGTAATCCTACCCCCTTTTGTCAAGTCAAATTGTATTCCCCTAGTTACGTTTTTTCGGTAAATTTCCATCCCCTCTTTTCATCTACATTGCCCCTTGCTTGTTACACAGCCAAAAGCATTTATTTTACCTTGAATTCGATCTCAAAGTTATGGTCCTTACTGATTAATGTTTTGTTGACTAACCTGGCCTGATCGTGATTAGTTTTCATGACAAAACATCTGATCGGAACGCGAGCATTGCGAGCAAGATTGATGTAGTCTTTTCTTGACTCTTTATCCCTAGTACATGAATTCTTCTATATATAAATTTGGCTTGTCTGTCTGTTTGGGTGTTTGTTTGTTTGTTTGTATCCGATAAACGTCAAAACGGCTGAACCGATCGGGCCCAAATTTTTGTGGGACATCACGTGACCACAGGGTAGGTTTATGAATGATCAAAATTTCAAATATTTGTCTCCATCAAAATTCGATCTTCATTAAATTTTTGAAAATTACTAAGTTACCTATGAGTGTTATCTACAACTATCCGTTTGCCGTGGTTAAGACCATCCCGTACTATTCGTAGAGTCTTCTCTTTACCTCCAGACCTAAACTAGTATAATCAGAACAGTGCGGAGAAATTTCAGATTCGCGGAATTAAACTGATTGGAATGAGTTAAAATCGTAACCTTACTACGTGAGATTAACTGATCTCTAAATCGTAAAAAAGGAGGACGTTTGAAGATCGCTTAATCTGCTGGTTCGTCAGCTGACACTTGTCAAAAATAAATTCTTCTAAATCTAATCAATTAAACTCTTAACTTTAAAATTTTCAATTCCACTTCGCAAGTTACCAAGCTTAACTCAATATCATATAAAGGCCCACTCCAAATATTAATATTATCTTTAACATATCGCCTTTATATTATTAGGAAATCGTTTCAGTTTATTATGATCATCTTGATCCATATTTTACGACCAGAAAGTTATAATTTTCACAGAATAACGTTTCCAACTAAACCCTTTGTAATTGTTTGTTAATAGGTTTCGCATTTTCTAACAACTTTGTTAAAAAAGTATTTAATTAGTATTTACTAGATCACCTGCCAAATCATTACTAGTTTAATGATAGCCGAGATGGAATTTAAAGAATTTGAGCCGCGGTTTAAATCTGCCAAAACCCGGTTTAAATTAAGCGCCGACTTAAATCTTGAAACATTTGATACAATTTTAAGTGGAAAAAACCATATTTAAGCCGCGCCTTGAATTAAAACCGCCGCTCAAATTCTTTAAATTCGGCCACGATCGATTTAAATCTAGAAGAAGACTTACCTGTCATTACTAGCTACTAAATATCCCTTGGACTCCAGTAGATTGCTTACGTGAGATTTTCCCGAACCCTGGATTCCAACCATCAAAATCAATTCCTAATTATTAAAAATGTTAAAAACAAATATTTCTCTCAAAAAAAGCAGGGATTTTTGTATGGCGGATGAAGTTCTGATTTTTCTTTATCAAAGACTAATTTTTTCTTGGATAATTGTCAGAATTCATCTCATGCAAAGACCTAAACCTTCCCTACTTTCATAAACCTGTGAAGATCCCAGTGTTGAATTAAAAATATTTTTAAAGTTAAATCATATGGATCTTCTCGACCGATACAGTCAAAAAAGAAAAATACAAAACCTGGGATTTGCTAACAAGCTCTTCAGTTTCAGGTTCCAGGAGAGAAGTTACGGTTTGAGTCCTTGGATCGAACCCTGGCAAAGCAAACTTCTTTGTCGGAGCTTGGCCCTGGAAATATTCCTCCGGGGTGTAGAACTTCAAACCAAGATTCAGAGCAAAAAGGCGATCCGAGCAGGAGAAATCTTTCTTCCTTTTTCCGCTCCAGTTCTGCTCACGTCCTGCAGCATCCCCGCAATAGAAGGATTCCTCCCTGTTCACCTCCACCTTGTTGTTCCCAACCTGCTCCAGCCAGAACCAGGTTCCGGGTCGAGGTTTACGGAAAAATCCTCCTCCTGCGGTTGAACAGATGACCTGGAGCGGAACTCCTAGCTTGGATTGTATCCGTTCGACCTTCTCCTGGAAATCCTCTTCCTTAAGCTTTCCCCTGGATATTCCGGCCTGGTTCGTGATAAATACAATTTTATAATTCTCTTTATAAAGAGATTTTAGTTTCCCCGGTATCTCAGGGTATAATATCTTCCAGTCATTCTTGTCGGTCGCGAAAACCTGGAATAAAAAAATAAAAAATAATTTTTAAACCAGATTTTTAAATTTCAAAATAAAGTATCAAATCAAATTAAATCAGGCTTATAAATATAGTATAGGGAAATTTAGTATACCGTTATTTTTTCTTACTTTCCAACCGTAAACATAATCTTTTTTCAAACTCAGCAGCAAAATGATGTTTAAACAAAAAATACACCTTTATCAAAATAGTCTATTTTTTATTAGATTCTAGATACTGTGTTATCCAGACTAGGGGCGTGTAGAGAAATTTGTCAAGGGGGGCTTTATTTTTTATTCCAGGGGGGGGCTAAGAACCCATAGGGCCGTGAAACCCCCCTAGAAACCTTAGATTTCACTTATCCAGGGCGGGGGGACTGAGCTTCCATAGCTCCCCCACCCCTGTGTACACCTCTGATCCAGACTAGGGTTCATAAGCACTTGATGAAAAGTATAACTAATTTTTGGAAGGAAAGATTCATACCAATATAGGCTAAATCTTAATAACATTTATGAATGGCATTCAATATATTAGTATTTAACTCTCTTCTAAAAAAAATATCTTCCTTTATTCGCGGATACATTTATGCTCTAACTACAGCCTGAGAAATATATCCAACCTTTCCTGACTGTGTTGTGATAATAGTTCCATCAAGATCAAATGCAGCAATCTTCTCCTGATCCTTACACTCCGTAGTTCTCATAGATATCATCTTCCCGTTGTATACTTTCATCCATTCAAATCCGTTCTACCAACAAAATAAAAATCAATATTTAAGATATGAAATTAGATCGATTATTTTAGGATACTCAATGCTTTAAAAATAAATATGCAAAAATTATAAAGAAACATAATGACTAATGAGGTCCATAATAATCCATGAATCATGCAATTTTTTAAACGTCATGAAAAAAAAATTGGCGTTTAAATTTGGATTGTAGTTCAATTTACAAAATTCAACAAATATATTTACACATTTCCCCAGGGTCTATTAGATCTAAACTTATTATTTTAAAAGTTATCACTGTATGGGGAAATTATAGAAAATTTATCAGGTTTTTCTGTTTTAAAGAATCGCAGACAATGATTTTCGAAAATTTAGGGAAAAAATATGAAAAAATTTAGACATCAAATTGCCAGATGTTCCCCCTTTTTAATAAGTTTATCCACAAAATTAATTCAATTTCCAAATTCAATCTGAAACCTTTTCAAAAAAAATATTAATAAATATGTAAAAAAAAAGACAATTCAGAAATGTGTTACTAAAACTATTCAGCACACTATTTAAGACCGGCGAAAAACTTCTTTCTCAATTTATAATTATTTAATAAACTCTTTCTCTGTTATTTAATTAACGTTTAATAAAGCATAGCATATTTCTAAGATACTGCTTTAGTTTTGCAAAACTACATGTTTAAACATATGTTTATTAAGCTGTAAAGATAAAACTGAACCTTTGACGAAAAGACATATCCCCGCTCAGGACTGAACCAGGAAGGACTTGATCCGGAGCTGACAATCGTCTTTGGTTTCTTGGATTCACTTTGAGAACCTAGAGATGAATCCTCGGATAAATTTCTTTTTCCTGGTTTAGAAACAGTCTCAGATTCTCCAGGGGCTGGGGGAGGGTTGAAAACAATACTATATTTAAATTGACCCTGGCGAAGTTCTAATAAATCCTTGTGATGCAAAGTATATTTAGAACCAGGTTTAAGAAGAGTGCCCTGAGCACAGGACGGATTACCACCATGTTGAGTACACAAAACACTACTAGATACATAATCAGCTATAAGAACTACTTGGACTCGACTACACCGAGAATCTTTTATCTTGGTTTTAGGACCTCGGCCAACCTCAAGCTGAACTCCGTCCTCCAGGAGGAGGTCGGGATGAGATCCGTCTAAACTTCGTAAAAAACATTCTTTACTCATGTTTATCTGAAATTGGTTTAAAGCAATTCCGATAGAAACAGTATTTTTATTATTTACATAGAAAAACGAGGTTTAGGACGCATCTAGTGGTCCAACAGCTAGGAGAAGGTTTCGTCTGGTGTAGTGTAAATGCAAGACTGGAGTACTCTTGGTTCTATAACTTCCTAGTAATAGGTTTTCAGTGTCTCGTCTCACATCAGGGTTGTGAGTAACATTTACTTCTTCAAGAGAACTCTCATTCATCAACTTGGCAAAATCCCACAATGCAATCGTTGAATCTAAATATAAAAATATTTATTAATTGAAAATCACAAGAAACAAATTATTGATCTTTTTACCTATTGCTGAGCTGGAGAGAATTGTTCCTTCTCTGGAAAATGCTAACCCTGAGATAAGCTGAGTATGATGACCCAGCTCAGCTAGAAGATGACCGAAAGCACAGTCCCAGATTAGAACCCGGAGATCACTTGAACCAGAGGCGAGAAACCTACCATCTGGTGAAAAGGCCAGGCAGAGAACTGCGGACTTATGTCCGGTCATAAACCTGACACAACTACCGGTCACACAGTCCCACATCCGTAGACTGCGGTCACTTGAACCGGTTCCGATATAGTTTGAATTAGGATGAAAAGCTAGACAATCGACATCGGAGAAATGTCCTTGAAATATCCGAAGTGGATGTGCCTGCTCCGTCGTCCAAAGTCGGGCAGTTCGGTCATGACCACAGGACGCAAAATAATATCCGAGAGGAGAAAACTGAACATCCCAGACCGGAAAAATATGACCTTTGTAGCAAACGAGACAGGTCCAGGTCTGTAAACTCCAGAGTCTGACAACTCCGTCCTCGCTACCTGAGAGGAGAAGGGTTTTATCCGGACTGAAAGAAACCCCTAGGACGGGTCCACTGTGCCCAATCAGCTCTTTGCTAGACTCCGCTGTAGAGTCGTCCAACATCCTGTGCAGAACATCCTCAGCCTCTCTGTTTATATCCTTCAGAGCCTCTGCAGGTTTGAGTTTCCTCAGTTTATGGTTGAGGAGAGACCAAACTCTAATCTTGGAATCTGATAATCCTGCTGCCAGCATACTACTGTCCTCAGATACTCCTACAGCTGTAACCCTTGCTGAAACATTCATCAGAGTGTACATGCAGATAGATGGAATATTGTCCGGACCTAAGTTTGCGCGCTTCATACTTTCACGTAGCGCGCGCGCTTTCTCAATTTTATCTGAATCGCGCAACTCTGGAAAGGGCATTCTAGTCGCTATGGGGGCATTGGGATCTGATTTGGATTTCTTCTGAATTATATTTTCCTTCTTTTTCTTCTTTTTAGGTTTGTCTCCGTCCATCTCTGGTTCCTCTTCCTCCTCCTGCGGCAAAGGCATTACATCCGGTTCTCGGAGTAGGCCATAGTAGACCTTGGCACGGTTTGCCTGACGGTTTGCTTCTCCGGTCATTGCTCCGGCAGTAGAATCAATCTGACTCTTGCTCCTGGGTAAACCCTCGTACACGTCTAGGTAAAGATGCTCCTGGATAACATTCCAGAGAAGTGTGTGCTGCTTCTCAGAAAGATGTTTCTTCTGTTGTCTAAAATAATTATATCATAAAAAAACATCATTTGATGAAAAAAAGGAATATACAAGGAAAGAAAAAATATTTTTAAACTATGTCTAAATATGTTTTTTGTAAGTATGTCTAAATATGTTTTTTGTAAGATATTCTATAACTCTGAAGACTCGGATGAACTCTGTGTTGGATATGATTTTTCTTAAAGCTATTTTTATCTTTATTTTTAATAGATTTTCTCACCTGAGCTGGGTATATGTATCACGTGACATTCTAACCGTAAACTGACTCGTATTGAAGTTATCCATTAATTCGTTCCCCTTCATGTGCTCACGCTTGGTTACGAAGGAGAGCTTCTTAATGTCCTCCTGATAGTAACACTCCTGGATGGAACCAAACTTCTCCACGAACCTCTTGGCCTCGCCCTCGTGCTGGTTGTAGACGAGCTCCAGGTACATGTGGACGAACACAGGGTAGAGGATCAGTGCTAGCTCGTGTCTATACATATCTAAAGAGTTCTCCACAAACTTCTCCAGATCACTAAACAAATAAAATAGATAAATCCTTCTCATTTTCAATCATAAAGATTGAAATAAAAAATGGAATATGATAATCTTAGAGAATGCATCAAGATTATTTCATCGAGTTTAAGATATAATTTGGAAGTGTGTATATAATCGAATAGTTTACATAGTTTATAAAGGTATAATTTTTTTTTAAAAAGGGGTTTTTTAAGGGGGGGGGACACAATGTTGCCAAGAGGGGGGCACAACATTTTTTTCTGTGCAAAATGTGCCCCCCCCCTATACAAATGCTCTCGTATGCCCCTGCCCCCCCCCCCCTGTGTAAGAATAAGCGTTCTTAAACACTAGGAACCGAACAGTATTGGAAACATTTTCTCCTGAATCGTGCAATAATGGGAATTCTTACACGATAGGTTTACTAGTATTGAACAGAACAGATATGACAAAATAATTATTATCATAAAGTTTTGTATTTCTCTCGATTTTATATTAACTTTTCCGTAGGACTAATTTATACTCAGCTGTCTCATTTTTCCGTACCGTACAGGGTTTGGCCTAAGAAACCGATCCGGATACAGGGAGCTTAAAAAAAGATCCGGATCCAGGGAGCTTAAAAAACAGATCCGGGTCCAGGGAGCTTAAAAACGGATCTGAATTTAGTGAGCTTAAAAAAATCTAGATCCAGGGAGCTTAAAAACAGACCTGGATATCCACGGAGCTTTAAAAAACAGATCTGGGTCAAGGAAGCTTAAAAACGAATCTGGATCCAAAGAGGTTAAAAAGTGCAAATTCGGTTTAGAAGTATTACCTGTACGCAGATTCGTAACTAGATGGATCCCCGTCACTCCTGTACGCTGCCAGTACATTTCCAACCTCAGGATCAGAGGCCTGAGCTACTATAGGAGCAGCAGCTTCTCTCTTCTTCAACTCATCCTTCAGCTTGTTCTCCGTCTCCGTCAAGTTGTGTTTACGGAAGTATGCCAAAATGGCTTGCATGGCAGGATCTGAAGGAAGAGGACTTTGCGGTTCGGATTTGATCTCCTGGTCCACCCTTGCAACGGGATCAGGCCGTCCGTGTTCCACTTTTGTCATCTGATCCATTCTTGGTCCATGATCAACCCTGGGTAGATGATCTACTCTAGGTACCTGCTCCTGCACGTGGTTCTGATCAGAGGTTGGAATAAGAGCAGACTGAGGAGGATGAGTATGATTCGGAACAATACTTGAATGATGATCCATCATTGATCTTGTATCCGGCATTGAGTTCTCTGGATTATTGAATCCCTGTTGAGATCCGTCCCCACCACTATGGATTGGAGCACCAGGGTCACGTTGAAACTGATTAAAGTTTGGTGAACCATCTTCATTCATCTGGAAATATGTATCTGTTAAATTCTAATATTACGTCAGCAAAAATTTAGGAGTAATGTCTACAATTCGAAATTACTTACAGACTACCTTTTCAAAACTTATTCTTTATACGGACAAAAACAACTATATTATGCGATACAAGTATTTTACATCTTTAGAGGGTAAATATAGTATTTGTGAGGGTTCCCTTTCAAGCTAATCATTTTTCCAAATGTAAAAAAATAGATATTATAGATGATTTTAATTGACATTCATTTCAGTGCTTTTTTGGGTTCATTCCAACGTAAGAGAATGAGAACACAAGATCTATAAATTTTGTCTTAAAATATTGGGTCTCCTTGTGTAAACTACAATCTTGATATTTTAAGATGATCTGTATTGAACCAGTCTGCATAAATATTATCGAATGTAAATGTAAATACATATACTATAGAGGAAAGGTAAAATGAATATAACAAGTAAATCTTATTTCTTGTAAATAATGAAATTGTGAACACGGTGTTCTGGTCTAATTTGAACAAAAGAATCCACAGCTGTAGCGGATATACCAGTGTCTTGGCAGTTAATGAAACTCAGAACTGTACACCTGGATAGATGAACCAACCCGGAGTCAGTGAACCCGGGGCATCCGCTGATGTTAAAGTGTACAAGGGTTTGACTTGCGTACAGATCTGGGTCTCCGATCTGAGCTAGACCTGCGTCTGTTAGTTTAACGCAGTACGCAACTGAGAGTGTGGTTAGAAACTGTAACTGTTGAGAAATATATCTAAGGGAGATATCAGTAATTTCAGTTTTACAGAGAGATAGTTTACGCAAACTTGCAAGGTTTGATTTTTTTTCTCCAAATCTTAGAAGTTTGTTCAGAGCAGAATCATTTAGGTTTGAAACAAAACTTAGATCCAGGTCCACAAGGTTAGGACAAACTGAGCTTATCAAGGCTGAAACCTGACTCCCGAATTCTAACCCAACCAAAGAGAGACGCCTTGTCGCTTGGATCTTAGGAAGCAGCCAGGTTAGTTGCTGTTTAGCAATATTTGTCCAGTCGAACAGGATGAAGGTTGGTTTAAGATTAGCAGTTGCATGGATCATATTTGCCGTGACTTTTTGTCCTGAGAGATCAACGAAACCAGAGATCAATTTGTCTCTGGATATCTTGTTCCAGGTTTTACACACAGTTCTCAGACGGAAAATATCCGGAGTTCCCAGGAACCAAAATATTTTCAGGATAACGGTTGGATCCTCCAAGATTGCACTCTGCCTGCTCTCCTCGGACTGAGAATACAAAAACCTGATTTTATTGTATTTATCTCCTTGTCTGTTCAGAAAATCTTTAACCCTGATACTCATCTTCAACTCCTTCTCCTCCATGTCTAGAACCTCCCTTTTCACGTTCTCTGCCAGCTCCGAGATGCTGGTCTTCTCCATATCAACGTCATCCACGGACATGGGTTCGTCCTTAACTATATCCACCTGGGAGAGATTTGATCCTTCAACCTGCATCTCAACATTGTTAGTTTCATACGCTTCAGGTTCATCCTTAACCTTGCTCAGATCGTAATTGTCATTGTTAACTGCCTCCTCCTTGACTGGCTCCGACGCTGACTCCGACTTGAGAGCCGGAGGATTTCTCTGACAGGTCAAACACTTCCACAAGTTTGGCATCTCCGGGATTGGAGAAGAGTTGAGACCAAAATCAGGTAAACATAAAGGATGAATGAGCTCGAAACACTCAGCGCACTCCCAGAGACTGCTAGTGCTGTTGTTCCTGGTGATATCTCCTCTGGTAGGATCAACGAACCAACCATCTAGCCTGCAATAGGAGCAAACCAGGAGAGGATCCAGATACATCTTTCCATCAGCCTCCATCCTCTTCGCTTTAGTTTTATTCTCCTTCAACTTTCTTTTACCTTTTGCAAACCAGTTCGGTTCCTTCCTTATCCCCGGCCAATAGAGCAGAGGTCGGCCATTGATTGCTCGCTCTGATTTATCGTTCTTGTGGACTTCAACAATAATTCTGATGTCACGAATCAGAGAAACCGGATCCTTGATAAAACTAGGAACGTTCTTCTTGTTCACCGGTAGAGAATGAAGATACAGGACAGTGGATTTGAGTCCCCTTAGCTCTTGTTGAGTAATATGAGGATGACCAATATTGTCCTGAAAGGCTTTCCTCTCCTCCTCCGACCCCAGGAGACGATTAAGGACATGATCCTCCAGATCTAGATGATGACGTCCTAGCAGAGCATAGCAGTATTTATCCAGAAGATACCACAACATCTCCGTAAAAAACGGAAAACGAAATTTCTGCGGAACCTTCAAGGTTTCCTCAATCTGAGCAATCTTGATCTGACGTTCCAACGCGAAGGGGTGAAGAAAGTTCCCACCGAACACAAGAGAATCTACAGGGGTGTAAACAGCGTGAATCCACCCGGATGGGATTAGGAACGTGTTCCCAGGATTGAGAATACATCTCCCGCATTTCTCCACCATATCTCCGAAAAAAACTTCTCCTTGTTTCCCGGAGAGCGTCCAATTCTCAAATGCCTTGAGATTAGTTTGTGTCGGAGGAATCAACCAGAACATTTTCTGCCCCCTGAGTAAATGATACCAAACACTAGTACCGCCCAGATCTACGTGGAAATCTGTATAGCAGCCTGCAATCGACATCAAACAATATTTTTGAACTTTAGGATAAAACATCTTGGACATATCATTCGTGCTATCGTCCTGCTGGTCCTTTAAATGTCGCGGCCACACGTTGTCAGTGAAGTCCAGCTGCCTGACAACCTTGGGAGCTGTTACATGAGCGTCAAGTTTAGTATGACTAAACTCGAGACTAATAACGTTAAGTTTAGTATCATCACGGTCTGGATCAGTAAAGAACTCCTCAAAGTCTTTCAGGGTCATCTCTGCGTTGTGTTGGGTGGCGCAGTTCATCACCTCCAGGATCCTCTTCCCACCAACCAAGGTTCTTACGTCGGAGACAGAAAAGGATGGATCAGGAACACGGATTTGTAATCCGGTCTTCTCCGGGATAAAGATAGGATTGTTGAACCCTGTTCGTTGGAAAAGTTCATAGGTTACATCATCCCCTTTCATCTCCGTGATGAAATACGGAGGATAGTTCTTGGTTCGAACCTTCTCCTCCGGGTCGAAGGTTTTCATCTCCTCCTCATCATCTGAGGATGATATTCCGTCCACATAGGTTTTACTGTGCTTTTTACGCAAGGATCTAGACCCGGCATAGTCCTTCATTCTGAAAAAAAATTTTAATTCATCTTTACTTAGTTTATACTATGTCATTAACGTTAATTACTATGTACTGATGTAAGAAAAACAGGGATAGTATAATCTATTGTTTTTTGTCAATTGTTTGGATTTGGATGTACGGTAAGTCGAAACCGGGTACACACTGAACTCAAAAATACCCGAAACCTCTCAAATCCGGAGATGTCGTCTTAAAAATTCTTTCTTCCTTTCTTTGTTTTCGTTAAATTCGTTGTATCAGTCTCAGAAATCATAGAATGTTTCCAACAAATTTTCAATACTACACGCCTAACTTTTTCCTAAAAAAATCAAAAAATGCAGCGTGCTTCTTTAATTTACATTTTGAACCTGCACTCATGACCAATCCCTCGATATTATTTTTCCATCTATACCATCTTCTCTGCAAAATCTACCCATTCTATAATCTTGTTATTTTAACTTCCTAAATAAAGTTTGATTGAGGAGAAAATACAATTCAAACTTGATTTCCGTTTCATCTCAATCCTTGAATATTTCCTTTGCATTTCACTATATATTTCTGATTCTTTACTAAACTTTTCATAACTTCCTTACAGAATTTATCACTACATTCTCGAAGTATTCAATGCTGTATTTCTAGCTGCTTAATGCTTTAAAATTCATGCATATCTATAAGTTCAGAAGGCCGTTTCATGCATATCGTTTCTCTATCTACTATACGCTATCCACTATCCAGTATTGGCCTCTTTACACATGTTCTCCATATCAGTATTCCCCTTTTTCTGCAACATATTCCAGTATTCCTCTATATCTGATATAAAATCCCGTGTTCCTCTATATCTGCTACATATTCCAGTATTCCTCTAGATCTGCTACATATTACAGTTTTCCTCTATATCTGCTATATATTTCAGTATTCCTCTATATCTGCTATATATTTCAGTATTCCTCTATATCTGTCATATAAACCAGTAATCCTTTATATCTGCTTTTTATTCCAGCATTCCTCTAAATCTGCTATAAATTCCATTACTAGATTCATTTGATGAAGCATGCCTTCATATTTGCAATTTCTTCCAATATATCTGCCATCATTCAAATTATCTTCCCAAATTGAAAACAATCAAATTTTTCTCCGCAACTTTAATTAAAATGTAAATGTAAAAGCGAAATGTCGCCTGCACTAATACTTTAAAATATCTATGAAAGGTGAAGAAAAACATTTTCCTATATTATATTTATTTTAAACCAAAAATGAACACTTGAGAGTAACATAAGGATATTAAACTGTATAACATGAACTATAGGCAGCAAGGTCGGTTAACCAAAAAAAACAATTGTGTTACGTCTTAATTGCTTATGTGAATGATTTTCTGATATAAGTATAAAACTCAAAATAAAATTTTAATACATTTATTTTTAAAAAAAGTTGCTGATGGTCAGAGTTGGTGGGAAAAGTATATAATTAGGTTGAAAGTTCCGAAGAAAATTGAATCATTTCTATTTTGTTCGAAAGGAAAACCGGATTCAGGGTAAAAACAAAAGTAATATTTTAGTTCTAACATATTTTGTTTTTAAGAACATTGAAAAAGAATCTTCTCCAATAATATGATGATAAAACACCCAAAAACAGAGTTAAAGCTTAAAAATTTTTGCGAATTGAAGAAAATTTGTAGAATATTTGCAATTTGTGATTTTACGTATTTGATATTACACAGAATAAAAATATACAACTTAATATTTCGCCATTTGACTATTTAAAACAAATAAACAGCTCCAGTTCTGTACTTTGTATACTTTACGCATACTTGCAATTGTTCTACATGTAGTTTTTCTAGGTGCACAATGTACAGAGCGTCCCATATCATATTAGATTATCTCCAAGCATTAACGCCAAGATACGCATGTACTGCTCGAAAAACATAGCATTTTCTGCATACAAATTTTTATATCAGTCTTTTAAAATCTTTAAAAATGATTCATTCTTTTTAAATTTTCTGATTTTTCCAAAAATCGCAAGTTAGAGCTATATAGGATCCAATATGATGTGGGACACTTTGTACTTTGCACGATTTTACTGTATGAACTGTATTCATTATACTGTACTGTTCAGTGTACATTGTATGCAGTATACAATTTGCATTGTAGATTGTATAGTTTAAACTGTACACTTTCATTGTACGCTGTACAGTAAGTGTAGTTATATTAGCTGTGTGCATTGTAGTGTACACTGTACATATATGTTGCGAGGAAGAATGAGTACAGGGAATCTAATCTATTTCTCCGCATTGAAAGAAAACTGGTCTAACATCCAACTGAGATGCCAAGTCCAGAACATATCGCTGAAAATATGAATTTATTGATTTCAAAATTGTCAATTTCTAAAGAAATTCAGTCTTTGTCACACACTCAAATTTTCAAATTCCTATATCTTTGCAACCTGGTGGTGAAAATCTTTTGATATTTTAAATTAAGACTTTACAGAATTCACAGTTTAAAATATATCTACGGAGGACAAGACCCTGATGGTTGTAAATGTAAAAGAGAGTGATCGCGAAAAGTGGTAATAGATGATCCATAATCCAATTTTAAATCGATTTTTATACTTTTATTTCCATTAAATGTTTCTGGAAATGGGATTAAAACAAAATTCTCTTTTGCATCGGATAGAAATGAAAAAAGTACTTAATTTAAATCTGGTTCATCCTGTGCCGTTCCATTTTCAAAAACACTCCCTTTAAGGGAAAAATTGTTAGAAAAACTAAAAAAAAGTTTTTTAATTTGAGATGAAAACCTAACCTGTAAGGTTGGGTTCTCCAGTATGTCTAGATCAGGTAGAGCAGGATGAGTTTTAGGATAAAACTGGGAACCCTGAATACAATACTTCAATTTGATATAATTAAATACAGAATCTCGAACATTTTTTGGCATTATCATCATCTACTTACGCAAATTTCTCAAAAAAATCCTTTCAGATATGAATAAGCAGAAAAGTTCATAAATTTTTAAGATCATCTAGAATCTTCTGAAAGAAAACCTGAAAAGAGCTTAAACTATTCACGATAATTTAATTTTAAAGGTGCTATATCGTTGCATCTACCATTTTGTAAAAATAAAGAAACGATATTAGAAATTGGCCATAAAAACTGAATTGTTTAAAAGTAAATAAAATATTGTTAAATTTGTTCTCTTGTGAAGAGATTTTGTGAGAGAAAATAAAATTCGTTTTTGGCAAAAATCTGTGAACATGATAGTCCTCTTTTTATTCTTTCCCATCAAGGATTTGATTATGAAAATATGAGAAACTTTTGCATTACCTTGAATGATCTATGGATTCTAAGAACTACATCACAGAATATATAGCGACACATTAATAAGCGTAGGAAATCATCTCCTAAGAAGTTGAGGTAGGAAGGGTCTGAAATAATAAAGCGTATTTGTATATGGTCTCAGTAATACAATTTTCTACGTAAAAGATAAGTCCGGTTGTGTGTGTGTTACGTACATCATCAGTGCGTTTAAAATGAAAATTGTATGTATACAGATGAAACAGCATAAAGATATATTAGGAATCAAAAGTCTTAAAAATAAATAAAAGATTTTTATCAATTTTTAGTAAGTAATTTTTCTTTGAACAAACTCTTTGTCAATTAATTTATACCTTTAGGTGTCATAGTTGATTTAAAAATCCTAAAACCATTGAAAAAGTTCATGGTATACTGGGTAGTTCTAAAAGATTGATGGGGTTGAAAAATTAAAAATTTTTTTTTAAGATATTTCCGTCAATAAGGAACAGAAAAGGGGGCCTTTACTGCAGCTTGAACAGAAAGGGAATGGACTGGATCAAAAAAGAAGCATTGATCAGTTTCTAAAAAAGTCATAACTCGACCCGTCAACCTTCAACCCTGTAGATGGAATAAATAAAATAAGTTTCTACTGACCTACTCCTCTACAGCGGGATATAAGCCTGGAGGCTTCACTAATAAATCTATCTATATAAGCAAGACACTTATCCCAGAGGTTTAGCGGGATATCCACTATATTTGTCACAAAACAGAACGCAGAGAGAGGAGAGTGAAGGAAGAGAGTGAACAAACTTCCCTTGTGTGCATGATCTGAGGAAAATGAAAAATTAATATAATAACTGAATTTAAATAACTTTGCAACCCAATGTCATAGACCTTCGATATTACAAACTATCAATTCTGTTCTATCAAATAATCTAATTTTTAAATATCAAAGGTTTACTCTATACAATCAGATTTCAATGATATAGTGATCAGAAAATATGAATTTTTAGCAAAAAATCTATTCATTTCTTCAATTGTTTCTCTTGCATTTTATTAGCAGGCCATGGGTTAAAGGGACTGTAAGCGTAATTTCAATTGACCCTTCATGCAAAGATGAAAATTCACAATGATAACCATAGAGTAAGAAAACGAAGAGGTAAAGTTTACCTCAGATGTACACAACCGACCTCCCTATTATTTGATTTGATTGACGGTTGTGTACATCACGATATGTTTACGCAAATAGATTATCAAGTACAATAGGTGGCAACAGATATATGAACAAATTATACACGACGTCACAAGTGTCAAATATAACAAGGAAAACAATATTTTCTCACATTAGTATTAGTTGACATGTTTCCCAAAATTAAATAAATAAGTGTAAAAACAGAAAATAAAGAACACATAAAATTAATATTATTTAACTGTAAGATAAGCACTTTTATCTAAAAATATCGCTATTATTAAAAAATTTTTCGGACACAAAAACTAAGTTGACACTTGTGACGTCAGAATACAGCTGTACTGTGAGTGTACAAATTCTACGTTGCCATCTATTGTACTAGAATCTATTTGTGTTTACGTATCTAACACTGTACATTTGTATATATAGGGATCGTATTTCTTAGGGTGGTTAAATGTAGAAAATTGAATATTTGTGAATTTGGATTGTATACTGCAGTCATAGAGAATAGAATATATAGAGAGGAATTTACTAGAAAAAAGTGTAAAACGGCCATTTTGTTGTACTGTTTCCATACTGCAGGTGTACTTCACATATTTATGCTATATAACCTGTTGGGCCCTGGAATATCATTTTATAGAAAATCTAAAATTATTGTTAAAAGAAAACCAAATTATGAAATAGGCTGGTTTCATAATTGACCAATGATCATTTCACATGGACTCTATACCTTCCACTTTATAAACGATGATTTTCCGTTATCACTATAAATCAAATGATGTTTTTATTCACCTAATTCATTATAAAGCTTTAAAAATTTCGAAATTGAATTGTTTAGTCTAGGGATCATACTGTATTAATGTACTCTACTGCATATAATTTGTGAACATTTACATGATTTGTACACTTTGAACTCCCTTTCAGGCTGAAAGGGACTGAAAAAATTCATACCGAGAGATTCTTTTAATTCCTCTCTATATATTCTATTCTCTATGACTGCAGTACATTCCAGTTCAGTGTTTGTTTATGTTCAGACAAGAATGACATTATATTGCATCGGCCGTTGCTATGTTTGAATGTAAAATCACGCTTCCAATCCATAAAGGGAATGGACTGGAAGCGTGATTTCCAGTCATTCTTTTCCTGTTGTCCAAATTGGAAATTATTTTATCGAAATTTCATTTTTTTTCAATAAAATTGTCAAATATATAAATTTGGTCGGGACGGGTCGGAAATCTTCACCGAGAGAATACAATCAAAGATTTATGAAATCCAAGAATTTGTTTTTACCTTGAAAGGTTGAAGGAACGCTCTGCGGAGACATTAGAACAACTAGAGGCATATCAAAGTGGTGTGGTATACTGGAGAAGGCTAAACTGTTATCTGAGTCTACAATAAGAAAGGTAGGACGTCGAGTAAACGGAAAAAGATCCCCTGGATACAAGCAACAATGCTCCTTAACATGACCCATAGACTTGTTACCGGGTGGTTCAACATCGTGTTTAGGTAGCATCAGGACCCCGCCAAGATCGTACCCCGTCTCCTCTGGTTGAGGGCGGATGGGGAAAAACCCGTCGGCGGAGATGTAAAGAAGAAGGGCGCCGTTCGGCGGTAGTTCTTTGTATCCTGAAGCTAAGAACACAAAGAGCTGTGGCAACGTTGGTTTGTAGAGCAGGTACTTGTGTGGGTTTTCTCGTCTAGTGAGCATACCGTTCTCAACTGGTATCCGTCCTGGGGCAGGAGAACAGTCATAAACCTGCAATAAATATAGATATATAGCGAAGTCAAACCTTATAGAAATCCAACGTATAGAAACAGCTACGTATAGCAACATGGCGTATTTTCCGGGAGAACATTTTTTATATTTTTGAGAAATTAAACGTTTTTGTAAAACATTGTAGCTTATCATTATCATTATCATAATTTCTATTTTTTTTAACATACCCTAGACATTAAAGGTGCAAAATAGTTTAATAAGTACAAATGTACTGCTCTCTATTGTGTTTAAGGTTCCCCAGATTTTATTATGTACTGACAACATAAATGAATGATTATATGGTTATACATGAAATTGCGTGTTACTATTAAAAAAGATATTTTCATAAAAATGCTATCTACAGTTTTATTTTTAGAGTATAAAAAAAGTTCTCCAGTAATGCTAATATGATTTCATAAAATTCCGTTTTACCATTTAAATAAAAGGATTTTATGAAAATTATATCTACTTTACAGTGATTATTTAATTTCTCAAAAATATAAAAAATGTTATCCCGGAAAATACGCCTTGTTTCTATACATTGGATTTCTATAAGGTTTGACGCCATATATAGCTAACTCAATATTAAAATAAAGCTAATAATATTTAAGCTTTATTATACAGGGTTACCCAGAAAGAAAAGAGACTTCAGAGACGAATACGAAATATTTTTAAAATTTATGTTTTCGTTTGTTTCGTTTTGATTTGATAATTCTTTTATCTTTTCAACCTTATGTAGTAAAAAGAGATATTTCAACCTATGAATTCTTAAAAAACGTTGATTACACCAAAGGTTGCAAAGATGTAAGGATTAAAAACTGGAGATCGAGGCAAGTGTACAGTTCCTTATTTCATATACCATTCAAAGATTTCAATCAAACCATAGGCATAATTCAACCTGCATAATTTTATCTTTAAAGATTTTCAGGTCGTCATTAAAATAGTATTCTTAGGGACGTAGAAGAATTCTTACATATCTACATACACAAAAAATTCAAAGCGATATTTCTGTTTGAATACCATTAGCCCTTAATTAAATACTACAGTAATATTTTACATGGCATCGAGAAGAAACATGTGCAGTGAAAATATATTTTTCAATGGCTTCAGGAATATGTTTATATGTTAATTTCTTTTCTTACTTGAGCCATCTCATCCTGGGGTTCCCGCTCCAGGGTTTGCAGCATACGGAACATGTCGAGGGTCAGCTCGGAGAACTTGATCTGGTCCGTCACGTTACCTACTATTATCACCTCCTGGAGAGACAAGGTCATGATCGGAGATCTCTCCACCGGAGGAGTAATTAGAGGGTTCAACCTGTGGCTGAGAACAATGCTGTTACTATCGGAGTCCAAGACGTTTACGACCGTGTCCGCCTCTATGAAGGATCTTATCTCTGCAAGGACAAGAGACCATTCCATCTGATCATCAGGCTCGTAGGTAGCAGTGTACTCATCTAAACAAATTCAAAACATAAGATGGACAGATAGATATAATCATTAAATTAGGAAAGGATGATTTCGTATTACACGATCTCGCGGAAACCAAGAAGTAATAGAACTAAGGTGAGTGTAGTAAGGTTTGCTCACATTCTACTATGACGAAATAGGAAAGCTTTGGAAACCAGATAAATTTGCTTTTCTTATACGTGTGCTTAAAATCAAAACTAGAGGAGCTACGAGGTCACAAAGCCGTAACGTTAATGTCGCATACATTTGAACTTCTCCTTCTATTTATATACCCAAGAATTTCGAGACCTGTTTACAATAAAACTGGTTCCTGAGCTGTCCTAATACGCTGTTTTGTAAAATGTAAACAAACCCTAACACCCTCTTTTTAGTTCTATTAACCCTTAGAAGTAACAATCTACTTTATGACAGGTTTCCAATTCAATCAATCTCTAGTTTCAAAGACATGGCTAAATGTAAATTGCAACAATGTATTTATACCAATGAGTGTATACTGCATATTACTCAAGCCATTAAACTAAGCTATTAGTTCGCCACACTACAGATATATTAGTCCAGGACTGTGCTGTGTTGCAGGATAACTATTAATGAAATGTCAGAATCCAATCTTCTCCGTATATAACTAACTATACACAAACCTAATACAAACTCAGAGGAACAAATAACAATGGAACCAAAATTAAACGGATGTGGGAGGGAATATGTCAGAGATCCCATTATACCATTAAAATATATCTATACTCTATCCTGCAGGGTGATTCATAAAATATTTAAACTATGCTACAGCGTATATCATAATATATCTATACTCTATACTACAGCGTATATCATAATATATCTATACTCTATACTACAGCGTATATCATAATATATCTATACTCTATACTACAGGGTATATCATAATATATCTATACTCTATACTCATAATATATGTATACTCTATACTACAGAGCCCAAAACTTAAGAAAGGGTATTGTTATGAAAACCAGTTTTGAAACCCGGATTTTAAGAATGGGGTTAGGCATTTTTGTCGATATCAATATTTTGTTATAAAATATTTTCTTATTTAATTTCTTCAATATACTCCATTTTTTAAAATCTTTTTAATCAAAATCTACACAAATGTTAGGACCTCAAAATGGAAACTCGGGAGTTTCGTTCTACGATACTCTTTTAAATTTCGGGCTCAGGGTATATCATAATATATCTATACTCTATCCTGCAGGGTGATTCATAAAATATTTAAACTATACTACAGGGTATATCATAATATATGTATGCTCTATACTACAGGGGGTATCATAATATATGTGTGCTCTATACTACAGGGGGTATCATAATATATATATACTCTATACTACAGGGTATATCATAATATATCTATACTCTATACTACAGGGTATATCATAATATATCTATACTCTATACTACAGGGTATATCATAATATATCTATACTCTATACTACAGCGTATATCATAATATATCTATACTCTATACTACAGCGTATATCATAATATATCTACATGGGGTATCTTTATATTGCTTTAGATTTTTCAGTGTAATCTGTACTTTTTATTACTGGATGTATCAAAATATAAACATTGAAGTCTGTTTGTTGTATTTTTGTATTTTGCGAAACAAAGAAATTAAATCTTTGAAACAAACTCTGAGTTTTCCCTTTGCAACCTAATGTTGTAGTAGGTGTAGACCTCAGATATTTCAAACAACTCTATACACACTCCAAGAGTTATATGCATATAAATATTTTATGAGAAATGTGAAGTAGTATAAAAACACACAGCCCTTTAAACTTTTTTCCATTAATTTCTTGGCAATTGAGTTTTGAGGCGTTCATTTCTTATTGGAAAATAACAATATTACATATTAGAGATTTTTAAACTCTGTCTTGCTGAAGACAATTTCAAAACCTAGTCACAGAGAAAATTAAATTTTATTTACATTCGTACTCGTACTATAGATTCAACATTTATCACTTAATCTTTAAGAAATGAAATGTTGATTCGAGTTTGATAAAAATGTAAAATATTGCATAAGGAATATAAAGGGGAGGGGGGAGGATGGCTCAGGAAGATTTATAGCTATGAAGGGAGTAAGGCCTGAACTAAATATAGCAATATATTTAATATCCAACACATAGTGTAGAAGTATAACTCACTAGATTTCAACAAAACAAAACATACTTATTCTTTTCTTCTTAAACTCTAGAACACAGGGTGAGTCAAAAAAAAAGTGTGATTAGCGGCGCCTGGTGCAAAATTGTACCTTTTTTGTGCAACTCTCCTGTATGGTATTTTTTCAATATTTGTTGAATTTTTTTTATTCTTTTTTGGTACTCCAATGGCCCCTAAAAAAATCCGCGAACTTTTTTTTTCTCTCAAAATCAAAAGTTAACAAAAGCAATCACAGAAAATTCGGTTCTAGCCTAATTTTTAAGGAAAAGTTGTTTTTCGATGGCAATTCAGGTTTCAACTGAAACGCGTATATTTAAAACTTTAGAATATACTAAGAAGAAAGGAAAAACTTTTCCTTAAAAATTAGACCAGAACTGAAAATTGCGAATTTAATTTTTGCAATTTTGCTAACTTTCTGTGGTTCTGTGATTCAATCTTTATAAAATTTTATATTTTGATAGAAATAATTTACATACACATTTTTTCTTTTCTAAACTTTTGATTTTGAGAAAAAAAAGTTTCGCGGATTTTTTTTTGAGCCATTGGAGTAATAAAAAATAGAAATAAATGAACAAATATTGAAAAACACCATACAGAAGCCGCTAATCACTTTTTTTTGACTCGCCTTGTATATGTTTACTCAGCTCCCTAAAACATATAATAATATGTTTACTCAGGTCCATAAAATTAACATGTTTACTTTAGCTCCCAAGAACCAACCTATATGTTTACTGAGCTCCCTAGAACCTGCCTATATGTTTACTCAGCTCCCTAGAGAACCTACCTATATGTTTACTCAGCTCTCTTGAACCTACCTATATGTTTACTCAGCTCCCTAGAGAACCTACCTGTATGTTTACTCAGCTCCCTTGAACCTACCTATATGTTTACTCAGCTCCCTAGAACCTACCAATATTAACTCAGCTACTCGGAAGCTACCTATATTTTACACAGCTCTCTAAAACCTACCCATGTTTACTACACTCTCTAGTACATACTTAGCTCCCTAGAACCTACCTATATGTTTACTCAGCTCCCTAACCAGGTCCCGAACTAGTTTCATCTTCTTAAGTAGGAGGCAGACAACGATAAACCTGGCATAGTACCGGAGCTTCTTCACAATCAAGTCGGATCTCTCATGCTGGGACCTGAATTCAAACTTATAAAAACTGAGTTAATATTTTCCTCCTCTATCCCATATTACTCGATAAACTTTGCACTTGCAATTAAGCAAAATAAGGATTCCCATGCGACAAAGGAACTACGTTATTACATCAAATTCTCATTATCGAATCCATCTGTGCAATCAGATAGTGTAAACCTTTACTATTTGAATTATCAAAATGTCTACATTAGGTTGCAAAGATATAAGGATTAGAAAGAGTTTTAGGCGAGTCATCAGATCCTTAGTCCAGAAGGGAGCTTCAGAAATATCCCAATTTTTTTGATGATTTTTGAGCTTAAATGATAATTAAATTATAATCCAACAATTACAATCCAATAATCTAACAATTCAATCAAATAATTATAATATTGTTGTTTTCAGTTGTTTTAACAAAAAAAGATTAAACGTCACGATCTTTGTGATTGTCTAGTAATGTAAGCCGAGGATGAAAAAAAAACTAATTTTTATCTTAGAGAAACTGAGTTTTTGCAACAATTTCTGGTTTTCTAATCCCTATTTCTTTGGAACCTGAAATTTAAAAAATTCTGTTAGATCAAAAGTTAGAAATATAAAAGGTCTTCACCGCCAGGTTGCAAAGATATAGAGATTAGAAAATTTGAGTTTGTGGCCAAAACACCGTTTCTTTTCCAAACTCTAATACCCAACTATCTTTGCTTCCTGATTCAAACAATTTCCTTTTATTAAAACAATTCAAATAGAAAAGTTTCCGTTATTTATTTTGTCTAAAACTGGCTAAAAAAACTTTTATCAGATTCTTTCAATGAAGATATAATATTTCAGATGACCATTTTTCTGGTTTTATTGGCGTTTTCTCATTGAAAGAAAAGTACAACTCTTTCCCCTTTTATCAAACTAGCCTTAGAGGGCGCTTCGCGCCCATCTTCTAAATTAGTTGTGAACATGTTCTCTTTGTGTACATCGTAAAACAAAACAAAAATAATTCGCGGATTTTCACAAAAAATTTCGCGGATTTTCAAAATTTTTAAAAATTTAATGACGATCGAATTTTGATGGAGACAAATATTTAAAATTTTGATCATTCATAAACCTTCCCTGGAGTCCCTAGATGTCCCACAAAAAATTTGGGCCCGATCGGTTCAGCCGTTTTGACGTTTATTGGATACAAACAAACAAACAAACAAACAAACAAACAAACAAACAGACAAACAGACAGACATGCCAAATTTATATATAGATGTCGAAGCAATTCCTTCAGATTATAAAAATATAAATTCACCTTTCCTCCCTAGTAGTTCTAGAGTAATATGCCCGCCCTCGTATAGCTGCGTAGAACGAGAACGCTTCATTCAGATAATTTGTCTCACTCGTTCTCAAACTAGACAAATATTTGTATAATGGAACCAAGGCAATAAAGAACCAGATAAATGGAACCCAGGCAATATAGAACCAGAGAAATGAAACCCATGCAATATAGAACCAGAGAAATGGAACCCAGGTAACATAGAACCAGAGAAGTGGAACCAAGGCAACATAGAAACAGAGAAATGGAACCCAGGTAACAAACACCAGAGAAGTGGAACCCAGGCAATAAAGAATCAAAGCAATGGAACCCAAGCAATATAGAACCAGAAAAATGGAACCCAGGCAATATAGAACCAGATAAATGGCACCCTGGCAATATAGAACAAAAAAATGGAAGCCAGGCAATATAGAACCAGAGAAATGAAACCCATGCAATATAGAACCAGAGAAAATGAACCTAGACAATATAGATCCTGAAAATGGAACCCAGGCAATATAAAACTTGAGAAAAATGGAACCCAGGCAATAAAGTACAAGAGAAATGGAACCCAGGCAATATAAAGGCAAAGTATTTGAGCCCAGTCAATATAAAGCAAGGAAATGGAACCGAGGCAATATTTAAAGGTGAGAACAAGAACTAAGGTAATATAAAAGCAAGAAACGAGAACCCACTAATATAAAAGGAAATGGAACCCAGGTAATATAAAAGCAAGGAACAAGAACCCAGCTAATATAAAAGCAGTAAATGGAACCCACTAATATAAAAGGAAATGGAACCCAGGTAGCATAAAATAAAGTAAATAAACCCCACGCTACATCAAACTTATCCAAGACATGGTTTAACTTACTAGTAGTGATAATAAAGCTGTCCTATCTTGGAAGCTATTTCTCCGATCTGCCACCTCTTCAGACCATACTTCCTGAGATAAAAAAAATTTAAAACACAAGAAAAAAAAATAAAACATACAATCACAGAAACCTTTTAGTTGGTCCAAACTATCTTCTGTTTGATCTGAACGAGGAATAACAAAAAATAATGAATAAATCTGCTCTTGAATCCACTGGAAATTATTTAATGTTGAATTCGCAAAATATTGTTTAAGATAAAATACACAACTCAACAAAATCGCCAAAACTAAATATTAATTATAATTTAAATGTACGATGTTAAGTATATAGCAAAATACCATGCTACATCAATTATCTTAAATTAGATGACAGTAAGATGCTAACAAATGTATCAAGTTCAACTACAAAACTAATCTATTGACATTATATCAAGATATTGTCGTGTTCTTCGATATGATTGAAATTTTCCACCATGTTTAGTCGACTTAAAAACTTGAATCTGAACTCGAATTAACATCTTCTTCTATCCCCTGTATCTCCATATGCTCCTTGAGAAACCCGTCGATAATACCACACTGATCTTTTAGCTTTGTGCTCAACTCAGGCTTGACAAGAACTACGCAAGGGAAGAGTCCGTGGTGCATCCTGAAAGCTCCTCTTCCATAATCTTTCGAAATTTGAACCTTAGGGATCTTATCCGGAACCTTGATAGATGGTGATCGCTTAAGCCTAGGTTGGGGTTTCAGTCCCTGAGTTTCAAATAGATGATGAGCATCTTCCAAAAGGCGATGGCGCTGAGATTTAATGGAAACCGGTTTAATGGAGAGAGGTTTGATTTCAGTGGAGGGTGGATTGTTTCCAGAGGAAGGTGGTTTGTTTCCACTGGAGGGTGTTTGGTTTTCAGTGGAGCATGTTTGGTTTTTAGTGAAGGATGTTTTGCTTCCACTGGAGGGTGTTTGGTTTCCAGTGGAGGGTGTTTGGTTTTTAGTGGAGGTTGTTTTGTTTCCAGTGATTGGTACAGGTTTAGTGTCAAGAGGAGGAGTGGAAACTTGTGGATTTGGCCGGATTGGTGACAACACGGGAACTGGTGAAGCTGATATTTGTGCAGGGTTCAAAGGACGTTTTTGAGTAGAATTATGGTCCCAGTTTACAGGAGTCCATCCTGAAAACTTTGCGGATGGAGTGACTGGAATCCTTCCGTAATCTGAGGGAATAGATAAATGTGGATCCATTCTAGAGATGGTGGAAGTAGGCTTTCCAAACACATCGAGTTTAATCTGACTACCAGTGGTTTTCGGGAATATCTTGATCTCCCGTCCAGTGTTCTCACGCCAGCCAAGAATTGTATTACCGAACCTCAATTCATCCTTATCCTGGAGAACCTGGCTGCTCCCGGATGCAATCTTCTTCTTGGATATAATTACGGTTTTGTTGAGAGCAGTGATGATTATTTGTCCGTCACTGTTTACTTCTAGGACTGCATGCTCCCGGGATACAGTACTGTCAGACAGCAAGATGTCACATTCCTTGTCTCTGCCGATTATAACCTTGTTTTTAACAATGTATTCGACACTATTGGGGAAATCAACAAGGGTGCCGAGGATCTTGACATCGGTCTTCTTCTTCTCTTCAACTATAGTCGGTAAAATGTTTTCAAAATCCAGCTGATCTTCTAGTTGAAGACAATATGAAGCTTTGTTTAAATCAACAGATACATCTACACCAGCTTTTTCTTTATGATCATGTAGTTCTTCAAACTCGGGATGTTTCTCTCCTTTCTTCTGCTCTATCAGCTCTGAAAAACTACCAGAGAATCCGTTATCAAGCACGTCATGATCGGATCCCAGGAGAATTCCTTCTTCCATCGGAGGCAGAGTATTCGAGGTGTACATTCCGATCTCTTTCGTGAATCTGTTTTCAGGACTGGTATTTATCGGAGTAGATCTTTTCCTCCTATCTAAAGTTTGATCTCCTTCGGCCCTGATCTCATGTACATCCGGAGAGTTCCTTAGTGAACTGCAACATAGTGGTGATCCTATAGGCGGACGGACCATGCATGATATTACACTTGGATCGGATGAATCAAGAAAACTCGCTATTTCTCCGACACACATTTCTTCTGTCACATTATCACTTTTAGCCAGGAGAAGGAGGGAACTGAGAACCTTTTCCTGTTCGATAGAACCGGGTTCAATCTAAAAAGAATATTTATATATTCTTCAGTTGTTTTTAAACCCCAATCATTCTTTTCAATAAAAAGTCCAATACCTGGATAACTGTATACTTCATTCTCATGAAGATATTGAGAAATATTTCTCTCTCCTGGGCCTCAATCCTCTCCTGGTATACCAGGAGAAAGTGGAGGGCTATGTCTAGAACTCGTCCTTTATCTGCTCCTTCTTTTTTTATAGCTCCGTACTCAACCCTCTACACGGATGTCGGATTTTAAAAATAGTTTTTTTTTGTTAAAAGTTGTCTGTTTTACCAAGGCATTATAAGTTTAACGTTTTCCTGTCAAAAAGTAAAAAATATTTTGAATTAGAAAATTATATTGAAATAATAGAGGTTGGAGAGGAGGTTAAGAGCTATTTTCTCAATTAAAATATCAGTGAGGTTAGAAGAGGTTAGAATGGGAGGGGGGGGGGTAGGAGGATGGGATCTAAGAGAAAATGTAATCCGTGAGCATCCCTGCAGAATAAATTTTGCAATGAATTCCATTATTTTTCCTCTCTTATCCACCAGTTCTACAGTTCCCTGGTTGGTTTTGTACTCCAGGTTAAGAAGAGCTGTCATCAACTCTATTGTCTCCGACCATCTAATCCTTGGACACGTTCTTTCCTCCAGGATCTCCTCTAGGGAGAGGATGGCCGCCTCTACAGCGAAATCAACCTTGTCGTGGAAGAATAGAAAGAGTTGAACCAGATCATTGATAAGTCTTTCATAGATCCCAACCTGGAAGATTTGACAGAGAAGGATTGAGAACTCTTCCAGATCTTCTATCTGAGCAAGATCTTCCAAACATTTTCGGTTCTCTCCTCTCACTAGACTAAGAAGGTTGTCATAATCCTCCTGTTTCCCTATCATTTTCTTCTAGAATTTAGCTTGACATTTTAATATGGTTTAATATTAAACTGAATTTAAATTTTGAATATTCATCAAAATCGCTGCCAGAACAAATTTATAATATCTACTTTAAATGGTTTAACAGTGAACAGCGAACAGTGAACAGTGAACAGTGAACAGTGAACAGTGAACAGTGAACAGTGAACAGTGAACAGTGAACAGTGAACAGTGAACAGTGAACAGTGAACAGTGAACAATGAACTGTGAACACTGAACACTGAACACTTGACAGTGAACAGTGAACAGTGAACAGTGAACAGTGAACAGTGAACAGTGAACAGTGAACAGTGAACAGTGAACAGTGAACAGTGAACACTGAACAGTGAACAGTGAACAGTGAACAATGAACTGTGAACACTGAACACTGAACACTTGAACAGTATGTGTTCCGAATAATTTAACAGAACAAAACTAATAACAGATCACTCCATAATCATAAAATGCAGGAGAAATTGAATGCAGAATTTAAAAAATATGGCTTTTTACATATAGGAAACATGATGTAACATGCAACATGTACATACAGAGAATAAATCATTTTAGTGCTGTATCACAATATTTGTATAAATGTATCTAGTCTTTGCCAAAAATTCTGATTTTCTAATCCCCATATCTTTGCAACCCAATGTTGTATACTATGAAATATTGTAGATCAAATAAACTAAGTTTTAAAAATCAAAGGTTTAAACTTTCGGGTTTCAAATATTTGGCGATTAGAAAATTTGAGTTTGTGGCAAACACTCAATTCCTTTGACTACTTAAAGAGAAAACAATGAACTTCGAACTACATTAGTTACAATACAATTATTTTTTTAACCCCTCTTTATTCTTCCGACTATAATGAGCCGGGGAAATAAAGTGGGTTTCAGGTTGTTTATTGTTCTAATCTAATTTCAAGCAATTATGTTAAAATATGTTGATTTAGGATAAACTGTCAATTAGATGTCAAAATTGGAGAATATTTTATAAAAAGAAAATGGATTTGACCAGATAGATTGCGTTTTAATTTCTCTCCCTAGCTCATCACTTGATTTGTAATCATCCCAAGGTACAAAACTGTGTTTTAATCTAGTATTTAGAGATATTAAAAATAGATATAAAGTCAAATATCACAAAAATATAAAACTGCGTCAATGCTTGACATAAACCCTGATAAAGAAGTGGATTGCGTGTCTCACTTTTTCATCAGTGATACAATTCCCATTTTTGAAGGAAGTATTTTAGAAAAACATAAAAACCTTGTCACTCACTCACAATATATTTTTCAATTGGTATTATTGATAAATCAGTATATTTTGGGAGTTTGCTTGTCGTGTGCACTTTATCTGACAAAAAATAAAAATAAATTACTTTTTATCCATCTATAGTATATATAGATATTCTATAATTAACCAAATTAAACATAATTAAAAATAAAAAGCTAAACAACTGTTGAGGATAATGTCGTCCTTTCCGCTAAAACCTTTTGTATTGACAATACTAAATACATGGACCCTCATGAGAACTAAATATTTGTTCTCTCCAATATTAGTTTTATCAGAATAAACAAACAACATGTTTATTGTTTATTCTTTTATACAATATCAAGCCAATTGGTTACAAAGACCAGGACGGGCTGTTTTTACATGATCATTCATAAAAAAAACAAGCAAATCACAGAATGTTTACCAAATAAAACATAACTAAAAATACAGAGTTTTTGATAAAAATGAACATGTGAGAAACTTTAGTTGGTTTTTGTCGAAGCTAGACCAACTTGAATAGATAAACTGCATTTTCTGGGGTTTTGTCTTGGATAAAATATTTTAGTTTGGTTTTGTGTCGAAGGTACTCCGAGCAGAATAGAAACAATGTTGCAATTTCTTGTATTTTGTCCAAGATAAAATAGTTTAATTTGAGTTTTCTCTTTTTAATTACAACTCTACTAATTTTATACATGAAATACAAACTACAATCTAAAAGGCTCAACCAGTCCGCTATCCAAGTCAACCAGGACACACCCCACCTGAATCTGAATGCCACACAGGGACACCAGCGTAGCTGATCAATCTAGCTATTACTCAGGCTCTAAATGCCACACAGGGACAAACGCGTAGCTACGACACAAGCTATCAATTCGGCTTAAAATGGCACACAAGGACACAAACGTAGCTATCAAACAAGCTATTTATTCGGCTCTAAATGCCACACAGGGACACAAGCTTAGGTATCGAACAAGCTACCAATTCGGCTCTAAAAGCCACTCAGGGACACAAGCGTAGCTATCGAACAAGCTATCAATTCTGCTCTAAATGCCACACAGGGACACACGCGTTGGTTATCTATCAAGCCCTTAATCGATCTCTACCCTAAACGAGGTATGATCTCAACCCGAATACTACTCTGCACTGTAATCAAAGAGGAGTTCTGATTCTAACTGATCTCTATTTATAAATCTATAAGTTACATGTTAAGTTCCAATACGCATTCACAATATAACGTAGGTATAATCTAAGCACAATATGTAGCTAGTCTAGTCGCAGTTTAAGTTTTACGTAGTTTAATACTTCCGCATTTAGTTCCTCAGACAATGTACAGCGCATTTTATATAGGTATGTTCAAACAGCATTTATTACATATATACACTTGGAAGCTTAAATATATAACTACAAAAGCCGGGGACAAATGTAAAATATAGAAATAAAAAAGTGCTTATTGAGCACTTTAATGCTTGTCTGTCATCTAGTTCTTTATTGTTTGCTTGTCTATATGTCTTTTATTCTACTTGTCTGTTTGTCTTTTTGTCTCAGTGATTTGTTTTTGTTCTTTTACGGTCTTTTCATTTTGTTTTCTGTTCATCTACTTATCTATTCGTCTGTGTGTCTGTTCGTCTATTTGTCTGCTTTTGTAAATGTCGGTTTGTCTATTTTTCGGATTGATTGTCTATTTTTTTAGGTCTTCTGCTCACCTGTTAATCGCATTGGTCGATTTTCTCTTTGTCTTTTTGTCTTTTTGTCTTTTTGTCTTTTTGTCTTTTTGTATTTTTGTCTTTTTGTATTTTTGTATTTTTGTCTTTTTGTCTTTTTGTTTGTTTTTGTCTGTTTTTTTCAGTTTATCTATGTGTCTGCTAACCTGTCCAGTATAGCTCTATGCTGCTGCTGGAATTTCCAGAGTTTAGTATAAATATCGAAGGTTCGACCAAAGTATCCCTGCCACTGTTTATGTCCATACTGAAAACAAACCTCAGATTATTGTTATTTTATCGAGTTCTATTTCTTCAAACTCGTCAGACTGTAGCCGGCCATACAGTTTTCCTATGGAATATTTCTGGAGAAATGTAGACATAAGTTAATGGGACAGGATTTTATTTTCACTTTGTACCTTTTTTAGAAAATAAACTAATTGCTATATGAAAATAATTGTTTTGTTTAATCATTTCGAGATGTGGGGGAAATATTTTAAGGGTGGAAAATCTTCTCCCGCTGTGTGCATTATATCTTTAAAATCTTTAAAATTGTTCTTTTTTAATCTTTTAAGTTTGTTAGTTCTGGTGTTCAAATTCCGACATTTAATCCTTTTCATCTATTAAGGAGTTTTAACAAATACAGGATATTGAAAAACAGGTTATTTTCATAGTTACAGAATGTTTTGAATAAAGAACTAGTAATTTTGCATAAATTTGACCTTTGTATTATTTCTAGATTTGTCTGAGATGAGAGTGGGATTGATCTCCAACTTATTTACATATGGTTTACCATAATAATGAATAATCTATCTTAATAATATATTCCTTCTCTCCCATCATATTATTAATAAACCAACATCCCTTCTCTTTCTGACATTTATTTATTTCTTTGGATTTAACATTTCAATATCACGTTAAACTAGAGTAAATTGCAAGTGTAAGATTTTTTATACGTTTTCAATGAGAACTCCTCTTATTGAAGTGCTATTGAGTAGGAAAAAATGTTTTTAATTTCTTATACAGTGAAACCCTTAAAAACGAATACATCGGAAGAATTTATCAAATGTCGTCTTGACAATTTTTCAATGAGTTTTATACTATATTACGTAAATTTCATTATTTGCGAAAATAAATAAATAGACATGAATATGCGGGAACAGTTTTAAAGAGTTCCATATAATCATTTAATCAAAAAACTAAATATCTGCAACATTCCATTATCAGAAAGTGAAGAATACGACATTTGATGAATTCTTTCGATGTATTCGTTATTAAGGGTTTTACTGTATATAACCTGATAATTTGCTTTTTTCGTACTTGAGCATAAAATCAATTTTAGAGGAGCTACGAGGTCACAAAGCAGTACCAGTAATATTGCTAAAAATTGACCTCATTCTGTTTAGTTCACAGTGCAATATCTCTTTCTCAATCATTAATATAGTCATGGATTAGTAAATGTCAATAGAAAGAAAAAAAGTGCTACAATGCTGCTTTTATATAAGTCGTTTAAATATCATATATCAATTATCTACCAATAATAAACTTACTTAATGGGATTGTGAACTAAATGTTAACAAGGGTGTCCTTTGACCCTTGTCAATTTTTTGACGACTAACTTGGGAACCCAGCTTGACCTGGAAACTTAAATTTCTCTATAAAAGTCGTTTCACTTAACTTAGAACTTTCCCGTAGTTCTATCGAGTTCCCCAATCAAAATTTGAGGCAAATCTATCCAGAGGTTCCTGAGTTATGATCGGATATATCCAAACAAAAGAACAAAGTTACTACATTAAAAGTTATGACAATACCGACCATTATTAACCGTTTAATGGGTACTGAAAACATTTAATAAAAGCACTCTTAAAAAAAGGATCGCTAAAATTTACAAGATTAGCCCCTTCGTTAGAAACTATTTTGGCTAAAGTTGAAATTGTAATAAATGTTTAATGTTCGTATCTTATTGTATATTAATTTCAAGTTTGAATCATATATTGCGTGCAAGTTAAATTTGATAAAACTAAACGTGACTGCGGGGAGGGAGGGAGTGGTGATTAAAATAACATTTATTTTTTTTAACAATGATTACCATCTACACTGTAGGTTACCCAAAAAGGAGAAGACTTAATTCAACTTTGGGATTGGTCTATTATATATGTTTCCGGTCGTCTTTACAGTCTCATACTGTGTGGGTTACCCTGAATATACGAAGAACAGTATCAAAAAAAAACTCTTCATTTGATGAGTAAAATGAATTGATTTGAATTTAGAAATTACTCTTGCAATATTTCTATTAAAGCCGCAATTTTTAAGATTTGTTTAATGCATTCTTCCTGAACATTGACTTTTGTAGAATGAGGGGTTAAATGGTAAGAAAAATTTTCGAGATAAGTTAATATTTAAATAATAAAAACCCCTTAAAATGTTATGATTTAACCTGCCTTACCAGGGATAACAAGGTAGGATATAAATTTGAAATATTATTGTTCAGGATTTTCACATTTTATTTGATTGAGAATACCAGAACCAAACTTCGGAATATATTCGCTGGAAAAAGAAACTGCTATTGTTTAAAATAAACATAAACAAAGATCCGGTTTAGAAATTACCATATTTCTTGAAATATTTAAATTTGTTTGTATTTTTATCATATTATGATGGCTGAAAAAAAGCAATAGATAAAAGTACATCATTCATATTTTCTTTTGTAAATATATAATAGAGGGTTCTATCTTTCTTTATAAAAAAAAATATATTTCCTTTCCCTTTTGTAATTTCTACATGTCCACTGCTCGTTTATAATACATAATATCTAATATGAGCACTGAATAGTAAACTGTTAGGTGTCCCAAAATATAAATAGTCCGCATAAATATAAAACTTGACTCAAAATTGACAAAATGACGGATTCTATAAAGTTTACTGTTAGTTGATATAAATGGTCAAAGTATTGTATTCTTGGTTATAATTGTTTCTAATTGTTTGTAGCTGGGTTTGGAGGGAGGGGGGATCAATACCGCGGACAGACAGAGGGCTGGGTTGGGTTGTATCAGATACTTACCAATATATTTAATTATATACATTAAGCAGATATAGAAAATAATAATTAATTCTGAATTTACAGTATGATCTGATCATACAGAGTGTGTCCATATAAAAATGGACAATATAATGGTGCTCTCCAAAGTATATGGTTTTAAGGACGAGACATTGACAACTTCTCAGTAGTTGACCAATTTATTTTTTATCTTTTGAACTATTTGAAATCTGAAACACCTGGATTATACAGGGTTACCCACAAAGGATGAGACTTCAGAGACGATTGTACGGAATTTACTTAAAATCACGACCCCCTTGTAACTGTAAACATGTTTCACTCTTTGCCAAATCATGTTAGCTAAGCCCTCAAAAGACTATATTCAAGGCAGATGATTTAATTCAACATAGAAATGTCATATTTTGACAGTCTCAGATCGTCTTTACAGTCGCATCTTTTGTGGGTAACCCTGTATCTATATGTATAAACAGTAGTAAGCTCTGTTTGTTTGTCTGTATGTTTGTTAGTCAGATCAAAACTTGGGAAACTCGGATGAACCACGGGAATGTTCTTAGCTTGGTTTAAAGATTCTAACTTGACTTTCCAGGCAAGGCTTGCTAGTGCTGGGTTCCGAAGTTAGTATACCATAACGTAGTTTATAGGTTCTTAGTAAAAATCTGCCATAAAGCAGGAAGAGCGCTCCTACAAATACAAAAACGTGACCCTGCAGAAGAAAATTCCGGAATTACTATGAAAAATACATTTCTTGAAATTTTTAAAGAGTAAAAACCATTTAAAACCATTACATAACGAAACCCGGTTCATTTATTCCCAAATATATTTTTCTACCTCCATTATTAAATTAGATTAGTTTGGAAATGTAAATCACCGACGTTGTCCAGGGGAATCATATGATCATCCATAATTTATTACTCACGAGGGAAGAGGGGGGGGGGGGAGAAAATCGATTGAGCGCTAAATTGTATTTCGTTCATTTGCGCTTTGGTGTAGAAACTCTCATCTATTTACTTGAGTTCCAATTTTATTTCTTTTTTCAGATTTAACCACTTAAATAAATATATACCATGTCAATCACAAGAGAGCCACAAACAATCCATGCACTCATAACCAATCCTACTCAGCTATTAGAATAAAACTATTAACCCATCCTACTCAACTAATACAACCACAAACAATCCTACTCACTATTAACCCATCCTACTCAACTAATACAACCACAAACAATCCTACTCAACTATTAGAATAAAACTATTAACCCATCCTACTCAACTAATACAACCACAAACAATCTTACTCAACTAAACCAACCACAAACAATCCTACTCAACTGTTAAATAAAACTATAAATCATCCTAATCAACTAATAGAATACAACCACAAACCATCCTACTCAAATATTAAATACAAATCATCCTTCTTAACTGTTCTAATACAACCACAAACCATACTACTTACATATTAAATACAAATACATATCATCCTACTTAACTGTTATAATACAAACCATCCTACTCAACTATTGTAAATACAACCAAGCCATCCTTCATTACTATTAGAATAAAACCATAAAACATTCAACTAAACTTCTTAGAATACAACTATAACCATTCTTCTTAACTATTATAATACAACCACAAACCATCCTACTCAACTGTCTTCCGTTTACATAATAAGGAATGATAAACGTGTTGTAAACCTTTGATATTTCAAATTCAGATTACTTGATCTAACGGAATTCATAGTTTGAAATATCTAAGGTCTGCAACAGTTGGTTTCAAAGATATAGGGATTAGAAAATCTGAGTTTGTGGCAAAGACTCAATTCCTTTTCATTTGTTTCAAAGTATTATCTAATATGGTAATCACCACTCTAGTATTCTACCTGCGGCATGTCTCTTAACCCGTTAAAAAGCTGCTTGGATTTCTCCAAGTGATGACAAAACTCACTGATAACCTTCCTCTCCTCTCCCTCCAGGTCCAGAACCACGTCGTCGTGCATCCCGAGCTCGTTCATCCCGTCCTAAGCCATGATCACTAGGTTGTTGTACCCGGAGCAAGTGGTCTGAGTGTGAATCCCACAACAACTCGGGTTCATCTGGCAGACATGGCTTTCCACTGCGGTACTATACAGTATTGATCGGTTCGGAGGCTTTCTCTCCCAACCTTGCCTTTCTATTTATCATTCAACTTAGGTCTCATTTTTACCAAATACATATTATTCCATCTAGAAAGATAACAAATTTAAAAAGTTAATACTCGATTTATATTTCTGAAATTTCCGTGTTAACTAAACCTAATCACAAATATCAAATTTTCATTTACATTCAAGCGCTACCTTGTACATCAACACAAACAAATTATCCGTCAGTATCCGTGTTCTATATATATTTTATCTCAGGATTATGATCGGTCAGAAGGACCAACCGTCAACCTAGTCATATTTCATTCGTGTTGAGTAAATTGCGACTACAAATATGTATATGGTTAGTACATTTTCAAACATAAGCTATTCCAAGTAAATATTTAATAACAGCATCGAAGTTGAAAACTTCATTGGTTTGTACATTCTGTGCAATGAATAAGTCCAGTGTGTAGTAAAGTAGGATATTTCTGGATAGTTTATAATAGTCTCTATCTATCTATCTATCACTAGAGAGAATAGTCTGATATAGGTTGGGCGTACTGCAGAACCTCATCCAGGGACATACTCACTGTCTCCTGGGGCAGGCTACAGCTGAGCATCCGGGCAGGGAGACCCGGAGCACTGGATATAGATATCAGACTTGGACCAGATACGTCCAGAGGATCAGGTTTAGATCCACCAGGATCAAGGTTGAAGGGGACGTCGAGCTCCATACTGGAGACCACAGAGGAGTTGGTGCTATCACTATTGGATAGGATGGTTCTTTCTTCTACAGGTTTGTTTACCATAGAGTCCGGAGACAGAATCTCATTTAGCACTGCACTACCGTTCACTCCATCGTCCTGGGTTTTGTAAATACCATGAAGGTTTTTCAAATGCTTCGTTCGATCTCCTGAACAAAAATCCCGTCAAAATCATATTATAATATATTAAAATCCAACTTAAAAGGAAAAACTTGTGATAAGAATACTTATATGATTTCTTGTCTCCAGTTTTCCCAATGTATATGTTTACTATTTCCAAGTAAGGAATTTCGTCGGAATTTCAACGTTTTCTAAATATCCCCAGTGCAGGTGTCGGATCCTGTCTTGTAAAAGCATTTCTGCAGACGAAAGCATCACTCACCTTTATATCTAAATTTGTTTCCGCAGACATAACACTGGAAAGGACGTTCTCCGGTGTGCCTCCTGTAGTGATCTTCAAGCTTACTATTGGATTCAAAACATTTCTTGCAAACATCACAAACAAACCTAGAAAAACAGGTTTCATTTGATCTAGCGTTTAAATATTCATTAGTTCTCAACTCATTAGATAATCTACAAGGTTTAATTTAAACACATTCCGGAAAACTTTTGCTTAGGTTCCCGTAGTTTGAATACATTTATTTTGTTAAATAAGGCTAATTACTGTGACTAGAACAAGTTACAACTGTTTTCAAGTATTTAGAACATTTCAAATATTTCAAGAACTCAAAGATTTACTACCGATAACATAAAAACACGTTTTCCACCGGTCTCCGAGCATAAAAATTTAAATTTTATCGAACTATATGTCAAAAATATTATGAATCTACTAATACTTAAAAATATTATGCTGATCAACAATTAGTTGAACTTTATAATTAAATTAGTAAAGGAATCCCAACCTGCATTCCCCTGAGTGCATCTTCAAGTGACGTTTCAGCAAATTAGCTCGGTCAAACGTTTTCCCACAGTTTGGATGCTTACAGATAAACTTCTCTCCAACCTCCATATCCTCCGATCTAGCAGGGTTCATGTCTATCTCAGATACAACCGACCTCACGGATCCAGGACTGGTCAAATCAGATTCTCTGTCAGACTTGGTTGCGTCAGATTTACCAGACGGGATACGAGCATAGGAGAGCAGATCTTCAAGACTCAGAGTCATTGTTTCAGAGGTAACTCCGGGCTGGCTCTCCCGACTAGAATCACTAGTGAAACTAATATCTGCTGGAAGAAATGACTCAGGTAGGCTAGAAGTAGATGTTGTTGAAAAACTATGCGAAAGAATAGGTTTGCTACTTAAACTACTCGGAGTAAAGGTGGTTGAGAGCAAGTTTACGGAGGATGCTGAAGAAAAGTTAATTTCCTGATTCCTGGAGTACACCGGAGCCGGACTCAGGGTTTTTACAAAAGGCATCCTGATGATCTTAGGTTCCCTGGAGGTACTGAGCAAGGTTCTAAGTGTTTGAGAAGAGGTAGCTGAAGATGCGGACAGAGTGATTCCAGTTTTGAAAGTGGAATGGGAAGTTTGAGGCAGAGCAAAGCTGGTAATTATGTTCTTCCCCTTGAGTACGGGTCTCTGAATGGAACCACTTCCGTCTGCAATATGAAAGAAAACCTGTTTTGTTGTATCATTACTCTGCAGAATCGTACTCTTACCAGAACTCATAAGCTGTAGATATCCAACATCCTGGTTCACGGGTTTAGAAGAGAACACGGTGTTTGGAAGGACTAGGGAGGTATCAATAGATCCGTTGACGGAAGAGGTTAATCCAGCCAGGGTTCGGGCAGTCGGAGACAACATTACATCATCATCTCCGTCTGCTGCCAGCATGTTGAGAAGGTTTTCGTCTAGACTAGGATCAGGGTCTGGGATGATAGTTCCCGGATTGGAGTTAGATCTGATGGTGAAGGATGGAGAGCTGACTGGAGGTTGCATAGAAGGAATGATGATGTGAGAAGGTCTAGTTCCGGTGGTCAGGACGGTTCTCAGTGTAGAAGAATCCGAGTTGATGGTGGTTACTGTTGTTAAAGTCTTATGTTTAGCAGCTTGTTGAGCATTCTCTAGAGCTATTAGCTCATCCTCCTGCAGGGGTACAGGAGTAAGCGCCTAAAAAACACAAATTATTAACAATGCATTGAAGGCAAAGGTATATCAGTAAAGTTTGGTTCTGTTAAAAAACTAAGAAAAAGGGTATTTATATAAATATTACTATGACTTAAAAATACAGCTTAGAACCAGATTTTTAAAAATAATATTAAAGATTGCCAACGAAGCTCAGAGTTCTAAGCCTGGCCGTAGAACCGGGCCTGAGAAACCACTATTTACTAACAAAAAACTATTTCCAAAGCCAGACCCTTCCTTTAATTACTTCTTGGGTTCTTGGAAGAGGAATGCTATTTAACAAAATATGTTAAATAGGTTTTTAATTAACGAATGGTTGACTAGCATAACACCGGAAAAACCAGAATTACATAATCATTTGATAAACTAATACGACGTGAATAAAAGTTGATTACAATTATTATGACGGTATTCCAGTTAATTTAGTTCCACCTGACATAGATAATTTTAATAATTTCAATCATTTTCCTGCATTACAAGTTAACATTGGAAACCTTACAGCTGTCGTCAGCAATTTGTAGGCTTGGGATTTAATAAAAACTTTGACTTGCATTGCATTTTCGGGATTTAAAAATACTTTTCTAACTAATATTATGTAACATAGCACGTTCCGAACAAACACAAATCTTTCGAAATGAGTCCAGCTGAAGTAAGTAAGTACCTGAGAATGTCCTGGATGATATCTCTTGATGTGTTTAGAAAGATCTCCTTTATACCTAAACCTCTTGAGACAAGTCTTGAACAAACATCGGAATGGCTTCTCTCCTAATCAAAAAAGGTTTAACTACTCAGATATCGACATAAACCTAATCTAATCGAGAGGAAATTTGGTACACAAGCCTTGAAAGTTCTTCTAAAATTATTTTCTTATGCTATACATTCCTAAAAATGTACGGGGAAGGAATTGATTTCAAAGGTTTGGCGAGTTGACAAATAAGACTTTTTACCAAAAAATTCATTTGTTTCCACCAATACAGCGAATTCAAAATCATAAAAACATTCCCTATTGATTGAGGGTAGCCGGTAGGGGGAGGGGATATTTTCAAAAATAAGGAAAACGCCTTTTCAAATAAATATTTACCATGCAACTACAAACAATGAATATAATGTCAAAATTTATCATACCTGTGTGTTTTCTTTTGTGGGAATCCAATTTTGATTGAGTGAAGAAACCTTTCCCGCAATCCTCGCAGAACAGTTTGTAATCACCTAGAATATCATCCTTGTTTTTATACTATTCAGCAGAAATTCTTCTCACTACTCAATCAGCACATCACAAACTCAGGCAAAATAACTCTATCATTAGAAGCAAAATTAGTTTTGTATCTCATCTAATGATATTGAACAAGGATTGTTGTTTTCAAAGTGTCAAGATTATTGTCAAGGAATGATACCTGTATGTCTCCGCATGTGACTCATCAGGTTTCTCCTGTTCCCAAACCGTTTATCACATTGAGAACAAGGGTACTCTCCTTCATCAGGTAGACTAGGAGTTCCACTTCCACTACGGGGAGTAAATGGAGATGTTATTCCACTCTCACTTCGCAGATCTAATCAGAAAACATCTTTATGGAGGATAATAATTGTGTTGAGCGAGCACTTTGAAATGACATCAAAAAGCAAAAAAAATATTCCTAAAATGAATCAAGATTTGGATATACCTACCGGCAATACTAGGAGTATTTCTACTGTACCCATCGCTTGTACTATCTCCAACCAGATCAAACGCATCATGAGACATGTCTGTCCCACTCAGGAAGGACGCCGCTCCGTCATCGAAGCTTTGATCGTGTCCTCCGGGTAGAGAATGTCCCTCTAAGGACGGAGCAAAGCTTGCTAGATCATCCAAGCTAAGACTTACAGAACTATCTCCGGGTTCCATCAAGCTGAAAAAAAACTTTATTAGATTCAAAGTTTTTAATAAAAAGTAATTTAATGACACGAAAAATAATAACAGTCATAATATTGATTGATTCGGCGTAGATATTATGTTTTTATATTTTTTCAAATTTAATAACATCAATAATATTTGTTAATCTTTCAAAGTGGAAATCAAGGTCATTCCCAATTTCACATTCATGAAATTTCTCAGGTTAGTTTCAATTAACAAAAATGTCAAATATAGGATTTTTGTTTCAAGTAGATCATAATTTAATCATTTAAAATGGGATTAAAGGCTTCAAACCTGTTCTCGAAGAGAGGAAGGGTGTCCTGCAGCATGAAATCCTCAGGGTCCGGAGGTTCATCCTTATGACTCCCGACCATAACAGGATCTTGTTTTATCAGAACAGTATTCATGGAATCTAAACAAGAATTCGTTAAAAACCAGGAGCAATGAGATCTAAATTAGAACCTCAATGGGATTTATTTCGAATTACAAAATTAGTTGTTTACAACTGCTAACCTGAGATGAAATTGGATGAAAATCCGTTCATACCGAGAACTACAGTTTTAGCCATAGACTCGGTGGACGGAGACGAGGTGAACACTGTGGAGGTCACGTTGCTGGTCAGTGTGGCAGGTTTACTCATGATCATACTTAGATCCGTCTCTATTCGTCCTCTTCGGCTGGGATCATGTCGGCTTCTCTTGTGGGTTTCAAGATCCCTCCGACCCTGGAATGTTTTAGGGCATTCATCGCACTTGAAGGGAAGCTCTCCACGATGTCTCTTCATGTGAGTTTCAAAGTTTCTCTTGTTTTTGAGTTTAGCCGAGCACATCTCACAGCTGTAAAATTTATCCGTACTTGTATCAGATAGAGTTTTGTTTACAACACCTAGGGAGAGCTGCCTGGCAAGAATGGATGAATCTGAACTCGTCCCGTCTCCATTCATGGTTATTTGGCCTTGAACATGTTCGATCTTGATCCCGGTGGAGATGGAATGAGGTTGACTAGTTCCATTCATTCTATGAGATCCTCCATTCACCATTTGGGAGGGGGAGATGGCCATAAGATGGGAGTTAGGAGAAGATTCTAGAAAGTCTTGTTCTCCGTCAACTTGAGAAGAGAACATATACATATTCTCAGCAGCCGGACTCATATCATCCATATCATCCAGGGTCATCGGTATCGAGTCATCAGTATCTGAAATTTAAATGTTCTGTAAAAACAAAAATAATCTTCTGAATTTAGCTCGCTTATTTACAAAAAAACCATTATAAATATTACTGAAATATTTAGTATTTACCATATCCGTCAACAGGTACGTGAGAATCTAGGTCGTGTTGGTTTAATGGAGAATCAATAAATTCAAACTGTGGAACCTCTTGTAATCGATCAGGAACCGTAGTCAGAACCTGAAATTCATCGGTTACTCTTTAGAAGTTAAAAGTTTATTTTTTAAGGGAGTGTTCGAGAAAAATCAATGGGGCATCAGTCGGTAATATTTTCATTAATATTCCAAGTTTCTGTGATTTGCAATAGATAAAACCCATTTTAAAAAGTCTCGTTTCCTTCCATAGCAATATTTTTACGGACTTTAATTTGAAAACAAGAGAAAATATTGAGTCATAGATATATATTTTTTTCTGTATTCAAATTAGTTTTTTATCTTGACTAACTTCAACCACTTAAAACAATTATCTGCTTTAAATGCATGGTCATTCATTGAATTTTAAAATATTGAAATCCGTGAAAATCTTTAAACTTTCAAAAGCATATTTCACTTCTTTTATGGCAGGAAATAAGCTAAACCCTTTATGTTTTGAAAAGATTAAATCAATAATTATTACTGTGTTTAGAATTAATTCGGAAACTTTCAATTTTAAATACTGGGTCAGTTCAGATTAATTTCAGCTTTGAACTGGATATTGCACGTACAAATTTCACGATTATATAATAATTGTTCTAGTCGTTTACTATTAATAACACAAACATCAGGTACAAACGAAGGAAGAACCGATGAATGCAAATCTGATTAGCTTTTCAACTTTATCAATAAATTAAAAATATGTATTTAAATCTAGCTTACCGATTGGATGCTGTTTCTTCTGACTGTAGTGACAACAGAAGATTGAATTATCCTACCACCCTCTGTCAAGGTCATGGTCTGGCCCATCGAACTTGTTTGCTCCAGCTTAGGTTCTGCCTTGCTCTTGTGAATTTTCGTCTGCTTGTGTTTGACGAAGTTTGACCGATCTGCAAATGCTTGGGAGCAGGGTTCACATTTGAAAGGTTTTTCTCCAGTATGAACCCGAACGTGGGTTTTGAGACGGAAAGAGTTGGGGAAAAGTTTGCTGCAGATGTGACATTGATGTTTCTTTTTATTATTTTGATCTCCGCCATCGCTGCTATCCTCACTAGCCGACCTGTCCCGCTTAATCTGAGCACTATTGACGGAGCTTGAGGGGTTGGAACTACTACTATTGGAATCTCCGGGGTTACGGGTGGCACCTGGAGCAGACGGACTTTGTGTAGTTGTTACAACCTGGATTGATTTGTAACTATCCGTCAGCAACTTGTAGATTGTCCTTGGTGATAATCTAGCAGGTCTATAAACGTCAGAGTTTCCATCGATCTGTTGCAGGTCTTCACTATCACTCTCACTAAGATCTGATTCATCAAAACCATCACATTGAGGGATAATGTTGCTTTTAGCCTGTACAATGGACGTAGCCCTGGAAAATATCTCCTCAGTCAGTTCTTTCGATGCAACCAAGGATTCAGGAACTTCATCTTTTGATTCTTTGATATTTTCATCAGAGTTTTCATTCATACCATCATCAGTCTCAGTTTGCTCAGTTGTTGAATTCTCTGGATCAGCTGCTGAGGATTTATGATTTAATTTATTTTCAGCTGATTGAGTTGAACTGAAACCTGTTTCAGAATTTATCTCCTCTAATCCAGCTTTTCCAGTTTCTGAACATAAAATGCTGATTTTTAATTTGAATTAAAAAGTTAATAATTTTCATTTTAAGATAAGAGCAATCGTCAGATTTCAGTCAGCTGGTTCAAATTAATCAAATTAAATTATGGTCATAAAAAACTTAAACATATCATTTGCTTCTAAAAATTATTCTTTAAAATTTTTGGATCTAGTATTTTTAAAGTCTAAGTTCCTATATGTTTGTGTAAAAAATGAAAAAATTGAACAGTCAGCAGTTATGCGTTTAAAACTGTATTGTTTATAATCTGTTTGTTTACTATATTGTATACAGCCTTAAATGTAAACAAAGAAAGTCACATCGATGTGGGGGGGGTTTAAAAATTCTTAACTAACAAAAATAATTTGATCCTTTGCCAATTAACACAACAGAAAAATTTCAACAAAAATGTTGATTTGATAGGAATTGATATCAATGAATATAACGCGGTAATTTGTTATCGTGTTGTGAGCTAAATTCTATTTTTGTTGAGTCTCTTACCTGAGAAAGTTTGCTTGCTTTCTCCAGATGGTGCTGGTGGCGCCGCCCTTGCGGACAGTTCAGCATTAATCTCAGGCTTTTCCAGCAAGTTCGTGGAAGATTTTGCTGCCGTGGAAGAAATTGATGTTTTCATCTCCATCGGTTCTTCTCTTGTAGTATTTTCTTTAGAAACCTTGGGCTCTTCTGCTGAAACCTTGGGCTCTTCTGCTGAAACCTTGGACTCTTCTGCCGAAACCTTGGACTCTTCTGCTGAAACCTCGGACTCTTCTGCTGAAACTTTGGACTCTTCTGCTGAAACCTTGGACTCGTCTGCTGAAACCTTGGGCTCTTCTGCTGAAACCTCGGACTCTTCTGCTGAAACTTTGGACTCTTCTGCTGAAACCTTGGACTCGTCTGCTGAAACCTTGGGCTCTTCTACTGAAACCTCGGACTCTTCTGCTGAAACTTTGGACTCTTCTGCTGAAACCTCGGACTCTTCTGCTGAGATCTTGGATTCTTCTGCTAAAACTTTAGAGTTTTCAGGTAAAACCTCTGACACTGCTTCTGAAGTTTCTGACTGATCGGCTGAGATCTTTAATTTTTCAGGGGAAACCTTGCTCTCTTCTTTTGAAACCTTAGGTTCATCAGTAGACTCTTTGAAACTTTTTGCAACCACTTCTGGCACTTTCCTGGAGATTTCTTTAATTGAGACTTCAGATTTAAACAAATCTTTGGTTATTTCTAGAACCTTGGATTCTTTGGTTAATACCTTGGACACAACAGCTGAAACCTTTGATTCTTCATCTAAAATCTTGAATTCGTCTGAAACCTTGGATACTTCAGGGGAAACCGTTGACACATCTACTGAAATCTTAGGGTCTCCTCCAGAAACCATAGACTTATCTCCAGACACCTTTGACTCTTCTGCTAAAACCTTTGATCTGTCAGTTAAAACCGAAGACTTATCTATTGAAACATTTGAGTGTTCTACTGAAACCTCAAGGCCATTCATTGAAACTTTAGAGTCACTTACTGAAACCTCAGACTCTTTCTCTGGAACCATAGGCTCTTCAATTGAAACCTTGGACTCATCTACTGAAACCTTGGTGTCTTCTACTGAAACTTTAGATTCTTTTGTTGAGATCTTGGATTCTACAGCTGTGATCTTAGGTTCTTCAATCAAAACCTTTGGGTTTTGAATTGTAACTTCAGGTGCTTTAATTGGATTCTTTGGTTTCTCATTCCTACTTGATATTCTAAGTTTAGTAAACTTTGATGATCCACTTTTCTCGTCATTCGAAATTTTTAGGTCTTTTACTTCAGCAGACTTAGTTTGAGAAAGTAAAGCAAGTTTTCCTGCAATATCCTCCAATGATTTCCCACCCCTTTTAGATCTTTTGATTAGTTCCGCTGAGGTTTTTAACTTAAATTTCACTGGGTTATCAGTCTTAGGCTGCTCTATCTGAATGTTGAAACCATGATCACTTGTAGTTTTAGTTTTCACCCTAAGTTTGATGGATTTATTAATGGAGCCATCTTCCTTCTTTGATGATCGATTGAAGGTAATTTTTAGTGGAACCTGCTGATCCTCATCTGAAGACAAACTTTCAGATATTTTGCACTTCTTGAACTTGATCTTTTCAGTTTTTTCCAATACTTCTTTGCGTTTCTTAGCCTTTCGTCCAAACCTATTCTCTTCAGCGGAAAAAATGTGCTCAGAAGGATCTGAAACTGCAGCAGTTTGAACTTTAACCAATTCCTGTCTGTTGGCAGAATTCTCACCAGTCATCTCATCAGACTTGTCAACTGGTAAATCAAGCTTTAACTTAGGAGAACTAATATCGATATCCTGATCTAAAGTTTGAGACTGATGAGCTTCTTTAACAGGGGAAGTTCTACCAGTTTCAGCTGAATTATTCGACTTAGTCTCACCAATTGGAACAGATGAATCTAGTTCTTTCTCCTGATTAGGTTGAATCAAAGGAGGTTGAGGTTCTATCATTTTAAGAGCCTGAGGAGAGGCCATAGCTTTCTTAGGTCTGCCTTTTCGTGCTCGCTTAGGAGAAGGTTCTGAAGTATTCCCTTCTTTTACGCAATCATTTTCTATCAACATTTTTGCAGAATTTATCTTCTCTTCCACTAATGCTGTTTCTTTAAAACTCTTTGGTTTCCGTCCTCGTTTCTTAGGACCAGGAATAGCCTTTGGAGTTTCATGTTCTTGGAGAACCGCACTACTAGCTTTGGGTTGAACAGGAGATACTTCATTCTTACATTCACTCTCTGCTTTCTTTTCTTTAATCTCCTTCTTCAGGCTAATTTTCAATTCATTGCAGTTGGCAATACAGGAAAAGTATGATTTTGGTTTTCTCCTCAAGATCATCTTAAGCTCATTTTCCTTCTTCAGAACTGAATATTTTCTATAAAAAATGGGATGAAATGGTTTCCTGCGAAGCACTTTGTCTGTTAACCTGAAGTTCTTCTCAATCATCTCTCTAGTGTTGAAGACAACATTGTCGTAAAGATTGTTCTTGCAAAGGATTTCCAAAGAATAATCATGCCGCTTCGGTTTGTATTTCTTTTGTTTCTCAATTGGTTGTTTATCTCGCAACTCTCTGAATTCAGCACTTTTCAAGATACGAAGTCGTTTTCTCTCATGCCAGAGGAAACTACGAAACTTGGGAATAGCTTTCTGAAAGTTTTTACCTATTTGGATAAACCTTTCTACTCGAGACAAAGGTTTCTCTTCTTTAATGCATTCCAAAAATTGAGTTAATGGTTCCTCTTCATCCAATGATTTTATTGTTTGTTCTTCTGTGATCAAAGTATTTTCCTCTTTTATGTCTTTCTTCACTTCATTACATGGTTTAGTTTCATCAGCAGAAACTGCAGATACTGAGGTTCTACTTTCACTTCTCTGATCCTCTCCAGAATCATATTTTTGTTTAAGAATTTCATTAAAAACTAAATTCCGAAGAGCATGAAGTTCCAGGTCCAAGGTTGAAGAGCTGAGACCAATTGTATCCACGTGAAGCTTACTCCTTGTAGGTCTACTTTCATCCTCCTTCATCTCAGATCCCTCACCCAAAAGTATCTTCAGGGATTCCGGAAGATCATCAGAAATATCTTCGTCTTCTTCATCTGACACAGGAGTCTCCTTCTCCTCTGTAATTGGCTCTTTGTCCTGAATTTCGGTGGAATTTTCAATCGGAACTGGTAGATTATTTGCAATTGCTTCATTTTCCTTCTTCTCATCTTCTTTGATCGCTTGAAGAGCTGTCAGTTCAGGAGTATCCTCAATATTACTTTGCTCCAAACTTAGCCTAGCAGAAACCTTCTTCCGTCCAGTTACCACAGGTTTTAAAATGGAGTTTTCCTTCTCCATCAGTTCAACCTGACATTTAGATTTCAGCGCTAAATCAGCAAAAGTTACAAAGTCCTTGTTCATTCCAAACTTTGGTTCTTCTACAGATTTTGGGAACCTTGTAGGAGAGGATTCAACCAGCTTCTTCTTCTTCTCCTTAACAATTTCATTTCCATCAGCATCATAGGAAGCTTCAGGAAGATCAAATGTTACCTTTAATTTAACCAGACTTCTTGGTGAGAATTCAGTTCTTAATCCACTCTTTAACACTTGACCAGAACCATCCCACTTTTCCGGAGTCATGCTTGTGTTCTGAATAATTTCAGGAGGAGTGAGGTTTTCTTCAGACATAGCTCTTGTTCTTCTTGAGCTACCCTCCAGGGAAGAGATATCAAAATTTACAGGTTCCAAGAAGGAAGAACCTTTCCGAGTTCTTGTTTTCCCGGTGTCCTCAGATGAATCTTCAATATCTGTTTCCGACTTTTTCTTTCTTCCTCTTTTCTTTTGAACCACAGGTTTAGGAAGAATAGGAGTTATTGGCTCAAGAATAGATGGTTCCAGATCAGTATTCTCAGACTCAAAAAACTGGTTAATTTCTTCAGAATTAATAGGTACAGATTGGACTGGAGACTTCAGTTTATCTAGTTTTACAAGAGTAATTCTATCCTGTTTCTCGGGAGAACGAAGAGAAGAAGTTTTCTCTGGGCTCTTAATCATTTCCAACTGCTCCGGACTTATAACCTTGTCAGTCAATATAGACGGATGAAGTTTTTCTGGTGACTCAGGTCTCTCTTGCTTAATTGGGGATTTTTTATTAGACTTTTCAGGCGATTTGTTTTTTTGTGGTGATGCAGAACGGTCAAAATTGTCCCCAGATCTCAGCTTACCTGACCTAAAAGGAGAAGTTTTTTCAGATTTTTGACGACTTCTTGATTTAACACTTCTCTCTTGCAGATCTGATCTACTTGTCTCAGGAGATGATTTTCCTCTAAGTTTTGATCTTCCTAAATCTTCTAGATCTGATGAATGTGCATCCATTGTGTCGGAAGTACTTTCAACAGGTGAACCTGGATCCACTAGAATAGATGATAGTTTGGATCCCTCATCCTTCTCGGAAATCTTTCTTTCCCTTGGTGATCTTTTAGGTGGAGTAGCATCTTTCTTTGGTTCCTTCTTCTTGAATATTCTAGCCAGAGCTGATGGTTTACTCACAGATTTCTCTTTCCCAGTCTTACTAAGAACACCCTTGACATCAAGTTTGGCAGGAAAACTCTTTTTCAGTATTCTGGGAACAGAATCTGAACATCTGATGAAATCTTCATAATGATCATTGTACAGGTGATATTTCATCTTGTCCGCCCTGTTGTATGACTTGTCACAAATTTCACAACAAAAATGTCTTTTATTAGCTTTGCCAACCAACTTAATTTTACAAAGCTCATCAGGAATCTTCAGTTTATCAGCAGGAATCATTAACTTTCCTCCAATTACAGAAACTCCTTTCTTCTCCAGAAGTTTATCCGCCTCTGCCTGCATTTCTGCGTCCTGGCGGGAATCATCAGTGCTCTCACTCTCCAACCTATCCGAGTCCTCAGAGGAAGATTTTCTAAGTCTTCTGGGACTTATTTTCTTAGGTTTCTCCAGTGCTTTGAGTTTCATTGAATCTGATTTCTTTGCTTCATTTTTCACTTCATCCTTTTTCTTTGCTCTAAAGATTCTGGCCACCATGCTAACTTTATTTTTTGCCCCTGAAACTGGCTTCCTTCTTGCTCCAGGAATCACTTTCATCTTCTCTTTAGGTTTCAAAGCAGGTTCATTTTTCTCTGAAGATTTTGAATCTTCAGTCTGATCCTCTAGTTCAGGAGGTGATAAAACAGACATAATATCATCGACAGGAGAAATTTCAATAACTTGTGTCAAAGTTCTTCTGGGAGTGGATTTTTTCACTTCAGGAGAAACTCTCTCTTCCTCAGCTTTAGCACCCTTGTCAGTTGATTTTGTGAGAAAGTTCTGAAAAGCGTCCAGATATTGGTCACCTTTCTTAGGAGAGTCAGGAATGGGGTTCTCTGGTATATTATCATCATCATCGATCAAGATCTCTTCAGGTTTATCGTCGTTTTCCTTCTCTCCCTCGTCTGAAGAACTATCACTATCTGAAGAGCTTGAACTGCTGGAACTGTCAGAATCAGAATCTGAATCAGATTCAGGAATAATCTTCTCCATGTTTGCTATTTCAGGTGGTAAGGTTTTTGGCTCATCAACAGGAGCTGGTTCAATGGTTTCTTTATTTTCCGTTTCTTTGGGTATTTCCTCTAACTTTTCCACTTCTGGTGTTGTTACAATTTCCTCCTTACTCTTATCCAACGATTGTTTATGAGATATTTCATCAAGTTTCTCTACTGGGTCCTCCAAATCTGGACTATGGGAACGATCTTCCCTCTCAAACCTGTTCAAGGAATCAGTATCACTACAAGAGTTTTCATCATTCCTGAGCTGAGAACCAACAATATACTTTACAGGTTGTGGCGCAGGATTCTCCAGTAATATTGGCATCTGACCAGATGCAGGGGGAACAACTGTCTTTCCTTCTCTTACCATATCAAACAAAGAATCATCTGACTTTCCCTTTTCTCCTCTTGTTACAGTGCTCAATCCTGGTACAGCAATCTCTGCTACCTTTCCTGGAGACTCTGTGGATTGGAAGGGTTTCCTGGCCATATCTGAAGGTTTAAATATTTTGACCCCAGATGTTGGTTTGCATACATTTGCTCCTGCTGCTGCAGCGGGATTAGTGGTTATCTCATGTGGTAGGAGCTCTCTGTTGTGGTTGGAGATCAGATGACGGTTTACAGCACTGCGTCCTTCAAAACATTTTGAACAGTCAGGGCATTTATGGTTGAGAATGCCAAGATGTCTGGCTCGATGGTTTCGGAAAGTTCTAAGATTTTTTAAAGTTTTGTTACAGATTCTACAGGTAAGAGAAGCAACGTCGAACTGAGATTCGTCAGTGTCTGAGAGAGGGGTGATGAACTCAGGACCAGTGGATATATCGGAGTTGTCAGTACAAGCACTAGATGGTCTCTGGTCGAACACTAAGCCTGGAGATTCAAGAGACACTGAGCTTCCAGACCTGGAGAGGACAGGAGGCCCGAGTTCATCATCATAAAGCTTAGGCAGTGGATCAGGGACTTCATCTTCAGAGTCCTCGCTAGAAGAGTCATCAACACCCTTCTTCTCTTCTTTAGGTTTCTGTAGAACCTCTGGTGGAACTGCCTTGATGATGACAAGAGGAATAGGTTTCAAGTATCCTAGTCTCTCACTTTCAACTAAAATGTAAAAGTTGTGAAACAATGAAGTTTGGAATTTTTATTTGTAATCTGACTTTTAAATTCAGAATCTGACCAGTAATCTTAAACTCAAATCCCTATAAATTTGTTACCTGATCGGGTAAACCTTTGGCATTTCAAACTTTGACTATTTGATCTTAAGGTAGTTTGAAATATCAAAGATCTACAACATCAGGTTGCAAAGATAAAAGGTTTAGAATATTAGTGTATGAGCATGGGAACAGCCCTTCTATGTTAAAACCATAATCCTAACCTTGACTCATGATTCCAACCCAACACTTAATCACAACCTTCATCTTTAACCTAACTTTTAATCCCAACCCAACTCCTAATCATAACCCAGGTTTTAATCCAGTCTTATTTTAAAAAATCCCTAATCTTAGTTCAATTCTAAATCCCAATCCAAACATAATTTCCTACTAGACTCTAAATCTCTACATGACTTCTACCAACACAACCACAACTCGATTCATGATTCAAAATTGACTTTCAATCCTTATCTAACTCGTAACTCTTCAGGACTTTTAAACAAAAATTAACATTCCACATAGGTCTCTTAAAGCAGTAAGAGAATTAATATCCTTCGTAGACTGCATCAAAAAAAATATTTAGGTTTTATGCAAAAATACAGTTAGCTTTCTGTTAAAAAGAAGAGACATAAATGAATGTAAGTATTAGTATTAAGTAACTAAAACAACATTTTTTTACACTTCAGTGAATATCTTAAGAACTTATAAAAACACATATATTTTATCAGTCCAATATAATAGAAAAATATTTAAGTTATAATAGTTAAGGTATTTAAATTAATTTTTCAGATCTGATTGTTTAGTAAAAGGATATAGTTTAAAAATTAGTGTTATTTTTTAAAAATTAGGTTAAAAGATCCTTTAAAAGTCAAACATGCAACCTAGGAATAAGAAAGACGACATAAATCAAAGGCAGGAAACTTTTGATTTTATAGAACAAATCAAGTCCATTCTCTGCTAACTAGGGGATAGACTAATCTCTAATTGGTGAAAACTTAGAATTCCATCACAAGGGACGAGGAAAGATAAGCTTAATTAATTCAGTTCATTCAAAAGTTCCCAGCCAAGAATAGGTTGAAGTATATTAACTAATGAACAATAAATAATAAACAANAAAAATAATAACAAAGTTCTTTAGAGGTAAAACACTGAAGATAAGAAGTAATAAAAAGCAGACCGTCAATATATTGATAACACTACATTTCATGGTAATGTTACATCGTCTATACGCAACATCCCCTTACTGAACTTCTGACCTACTGCAATATTGGTTCCTGTTTGAATTAAAAAATCGTCTGTAAGTGTACTTCTTCTTGATGCACTTTTAGTAAAAATTATGAATATTCAATTTTTGTAAAAAGAATTTCAAAATAGGTTTTATTGAAAATTGTTAATATTCAGTAGAACTTCAAAATGTTGTATTACCTTTTTCTCTTTCGGAGTAGTGCTGAATTTAGCTTTAGCATCTTCAATCAGATGCATCTTAGTGTGCTCTTGCAGGGATGCTTTATCAGGACAAATCTTACTGCACTGATTACAGCAGAAACCAGGTTTCTCTTGAACCATGCTCGGACCTGGTACAGGATCTTTTCTTGTGAACTCAGGTTTAGCCATGACAGGAGGTAGCGCTCCGTCCCGGAGATGTGTATTCATATGTCTATTCAACTTGACACGTCCTTGGAACGTTTTAGGACAATAGTTGCACCTGAAGTTCAGCATCCCAGCATGTCTTCTAAGATGGATAATGTAAGATCTCTTATTTCCAAGCCTTGTGTTACACATCTGACAAAGATGAGTTCCGTCCGCTGTTGGAGGAATTTCAGAGTCGAGTTCTGCTCTTGCCATTCTTTCAGCATCTTCCTCACTCAGTCCGTTTACCAAGGATGGAACAGAGGATGAGGAGAAGTTTCCAGATTTCTTCATCTCGTCCTGAGAATCTGTATCTTCTGTCAGATCAAAAAAGGCAGTATCAGCTGAAGATGGTATTGTTGCTGAAGCAGCTGCTGCTTCCAATGTCTTGGTTTCAGAAAACGTCTCCATGGAGAGTTTGACCGAATGATCTTCAATTTCTCCGCTTTCAGACGCTGGGTGAAGGGAAATTTGATCATTTGAGTCATAAGTATCATCCAGTCCAAACTCACCTAGAGATGCTCCAAAAGATTCTAAGAATGTGTGGATTTTATCCACCACAGCATCTTGAGTTTTCCTGGTGTGACTAGTTGCATGCTTGATGAGATGGGATCTTGATTGAAAAGTCATATCACAGTCCTCACACTTATGCGGCAAACTTCCCTCGTGACGGAGTACATGAACTCGTCTATTTTTTTCACTTGTAAACTTTTTATCGCAGAAATTACAAGCAAAGGGTTTCTCTCCGGTATGAAGACGGTAGTGGGTGGTGAGAGCTTCCTGTTTTTGAAAGGACATAGGGCACGTGTCACATTTGAAGGGGTGATCTTTCAAATGTCTGGTTTTGTGATTTTTTAACTCTATTTGGTTTCTGAAGGCCTCGGAACACTGGTCACAGGGAAACGGTCGCTCTGCTTCATGAATAGCTCTGACATGCTTCTCTAAAGATCTTTTTTCTCTAAATTCTTTCTTACAATAAGGACACACTTCCGGCTGCACGTCTCCATGAAGTCTAACATGACGAGCAAAGGATTTTTTCTGCAGAGATAAATGACAGATCGGACATGTAGCCATTTTAGGGGCTACCCCAAAATGGCTTAATAGATGATTTATTAAGGTTTTGTCGTTTTTGAACTGTTGTTTTTCACAAAATAGGCATAGAAGATTATCAAAGTCATAACCTCCGGTAATAATAGTTGGAACTTCGACTTTAAGTCCACCTTCGGTAATAACAGTGTAGGTTTCCTTTACTGGGTCCTTCTGTACTAGAGGTTCCAGGGGTTTGGGAGCTGGAGCACTGGGTTGGGTTGGTATCAAATCCTTTTCCTCTTTCAAGGATAAAGAGGAGGCAGAAAGATCTGATATATTTACAATTGGAGTTTCTTGCTTAGTGATAAGTTCTTGATTAACCTCCACAGGAGTTGTTAGAGATGAAGAGGGTTGCGCAGAAGGATAAAACTGACCAGGGAAAGAAAGAGACGAATCATTAGCTACCATGGTCTGTACAGGGCTGGATGCAGTAACCTCTAGTATCGGAGCAGGTTCACGCTTTATCTCATCTGGTAAGATACCAGTCTTAATATCAAGTTCCACCTGGTTTCCTAGCTCCAGATCTAGTTTTACCTCTGTCATGGGAACAACAGATCTTTTTGCTACAACTATTGGACCTGAAGGTTTAAGGTCAGCAAAGGACGGAACCTCTATATCTGGATAATCAGGTTTCAGTCCGTCCAAGGTTGTGAATGTGAGTCCTGACTCCTCCTTGATGCTGCCGGCAGCCTTGAAGAAGCTGTCCAGCTTTTCGTCTGTCGTACTGCTGTAATGATGACTGTAATTATAGTTGGAGTTCAGGTTGGCAAGGCTGTTGGATGAGTCTAGTAGATCAGGGAACTCTCCGGAGTCGTTGTGTTGAGGTTTATGTTCATCCTTGATTTTCTGATGAGGATTAGATCCTCCAGTCATAAACTCATCCATGTCTAGAGGAACAACCCGAGCAGCTCCCTCTGTTAGTTTCTCCTGGATATCCAAACTGTCAGGGTTACTGAAAAAAATAGAATATTAGAATCGAGCATAATTGTTTCTTCATTCTTCGGCAAGAACAGAGCTGAAAACGATTAAATTTGCAAAAATTCAACGGAAATTTTTATTAATTGGTCACTAATTATTCCATTTCTAAATGGTTAAAAATCAAGGTTCAAATCTAAACAGTAAAATGGCTGGCTTATTTAGGAATATTATTTTAAAATGCTCAAATTTTGTATTAAGCCAGTTTTACTCTAATGCTTCCAAGAAAAATCGGGTAATTCGCTGCCCGCTAACATATTTTAACATTTACAAGTTAGCATTTAAGCTCTTTCTGTTAAAAAGTTCAATTCTATGGAATTGAGGATAAGCCATAACGTTTTCTTGTTCAAAAGTTTTCATTTCAAAACATTTTTACTATCTTAATTTCAATTGAAGATATGTCATAAATTTATTTTAAAAAACTTAAAGACAATTCAATTTCCAAAATGCTAATTGAATTTTCCCACGTGACTAGGTTCCTGTTTCTAGATTCTGATTTTAAAGTCATAGAAACACAAGGGGAAATTGAAATAATTTTTTTTTTAAATTAAATTTTCTAAAACCTTGTTCTCGTTAACATTAAATGGCGGAGGGGGGGCGGGCAGGTGGCACTTATTTCATTAATTAATTTAGTCAGTATCAGGGGCGGATACAGGATTTAAGCATGCTATTTAGAAGCTATTCTAAAAATAGGAACAAAAAATTCCAAATTCAGGGGGGGGGCGAATGTCCCCCCCCCCTGTATCCGCCCCTGGTCAGTATTATTAAATTTTATTAAGGCTTTTTTACTAATGCTATCAATATTAACCCGTTATCTAATAATCTTGTCTGTCGGTTTGTAACAAATAAACGTTAAAAAACCTTAACCGATCTGGTCCAAATTTTGTGTGGTAAATCACATGACCCCGAGAAAGTTTTGGCCATTAGAAATTGAAAAATATAGCCTAGAAACAATTTCGATTTTAACATTTTTGTGCGTCCATCAATGCCGAAAAGAGGCGATTAGCGACATTTAAAAGTTAAACCTTTTACTTTAAAAAGACACACTCAAAAAAGCTTTAGAGTATTATATTTACAAAACTTAATTTGAAATGATCAAAAAAAAAAAAATTCTGATACTTAATTAGTTACTTGGTCCAGGAATTTTATCTAACCATCCTTTGAATTGAATTACCTGGGGGTTTCTATTGCTGTCTGATTAACGTTGTACTGATAAATATCATCCATAGATAAACTAATCATACTGGAGGAAGCGGATACACTATCATCCTCCTGGGAACCTTCAGACTTCAGATCAAAACTCAATCCTTCGGATATTCTTGAGAAATGAGAGGTATCTCCAAGGATCATATGCGGGCTTGGAGCAGTCCGAGACGGTTCAACGTCCCGAGATATCTCCGAGGTAAGGTTCGGCATTTCTGCATCTTTTTGTTTATCCTCCGGCAGTGCCATTGCTGTAGTTCCGTCAGATTTCTGGATTACTTTAGGTGCCACATAACGCCCTGTAGCATGAGCATTCAGATGTTTTTCAAGCGCCTTCGGACCTTCGAAACTTCGGGGACAAAGATGACATTTGTGGGATAGTCCAGAGTTATGACGAGCCATGTGAAGTTTCATCTTCCTATCGTCTCTGAAACCTTTGCCGCAGAGTTCACAATGGAACGGAGTTTCTCCGGTATGGATTCTCACATGGACAGCGTATCTGTGTTGATCAACATAACTTCTCTTACAGTAGGGACAGATTAGAGCTTCATCAATTTTATGTCTCTTCTTGTGAATCTTCAGTTCACCTTCAGACGGACAGATCTTAGCGCAAACATTACAAGACCAGAGAATAGACCCGTCCTCCTGTATTGTTGGTTCGATTCTCGCTTCCCGAACTACAGGTTTATCCTCGAAACTAACCGAGGTTTCCCCTCTCATCCCCTGGATTGTTGGCGCTGGAGTTGTGACCGTATTTGATGAGTGTGTGAAGGACGAGTTTTGTGTCAGAGTTCCCATATGTTGAGTGATAGCAACCAGCCCTCCCTGACTGTTTGTTACTCCTACAGGTACTTTCAGGACTTCAGAACTCTGGATATTCAGCTGACCAGCTTGAAGCTGAGTAGCTTGAATAAGGGTTTTATTCCCTCCGCCGGGAATCAATGTCATTGGCATTCCTCCGGGGAAATTTCCTATAAAACTTCCGGTGTTATAATTGCCTCCACTACTGAAGACTAGTAGTGGCGGAGTAGATCCCAAGTTCATCCCTGCCACGGCAACTATTTGTCCGCCACTGCTCAGATTTGAGACACAGACACAAGTCGGTGTTCCGCTCAAGCTGGTATGAGCCAGCGTGATAATATTAGATGTGCTGACCTGGCTCAATTGGTTTACCGGCAGGCCTAAACTCGTCACGTTATTTAAATTCATTTTGCTCAGACCCTCACTGTTACTGTTCGTACTATCACAGACTTTTATTCTACACTGGGTAGTCCCGTACACTTGGTTTATAATACCTTCACTTGAGGAATTGTTTATTTCACTTTTAGTTTTTCCGGTCACTTGACCTAATTCTCCAGACTTAGATCTGGATGGCTTTAAACGCAACGGAGCGTCAGGGGGAGTCTCCCCCACCATCAAATGTTCATCACTTTTAGGAACAAATTTATCGTTTCTTTTCACTTTTTTCCATAATTTCTTTTTTTCTTTATTTATTAAGGATTTAGATACCACTAAAGGGCAGGAACCTTCAACAGTTGATTTAGAGCCAGACATAAGTTTTTTTACCCGATCTTTCTCGGTCAAGTCACGATTCATACATACAGAAAAATTTTCCGAGTCACTCTCCCCTCCGGAGTCGGAACTCTCGGAGAAGTTTCCATCCAGGTTCGGAATGGTTGACACCAGCTCAGGGTTGTGGATGAACTGCTGACCATAAACCTTGGAGCTGTGACTCGGAACATCAAAAACAATTCTTGAATGTTTGTTTTGTTCGAAATTTTGCAATCTTAAATCACAATTTTGTCCAAGAGTCAAAAGTTCACGCGCGCACATAATTTCTTCGACTGAATCGCGAATCTTGAGATCATTTTCTAACCGAAAAGCAAGATTTATTAGGAAAATAAAATAAGAGTGTTAAATAGCTGATATTTCAATCTTCGTAAATATTTATTAAATTATGGGAACATATGATCATAATTGTTTTTATCTTGCTTTTTACCCGTGAATTCAAGTTGAGGAACCAGGGTGACAGATCTTTGCTCATGAATACCCGTCTCTAGAGAGACGAGGAGCGGAGATGAATTGATAGATCCGTCCCCCTGTTGTATATCCAAGGCGGAACCATCCTGTCAAATTGCATTGGATCTTCCAGAACCTCCGTTCCCAGTTCCACTCGTCTGTACACTTGAATCTAAAAATAGATCACATTGAATAACTTGTTATGTTTAAACACTGAACGGTTTTAAAAATAAGCATAATCTTGTTAAACATCCCCCCACACCAAAAATAATGCTATTGCATGAAGATTTAAGGGATTTAAATACGTTCAAAGTAAGTTATTGACCGCAGAAGATTTAAATAATATCCTAATCAATAAAATACCTATGAAATATTGAGGAAAGCCTCCATTGACCGATGAGACGGGTACTGTAGCCTGTAAGGCTCCGGCCGGTAGGGCCACGAACTGTGTAGTTCCTCCCCTTCCTTCACTTCCATCTGTAATAAGAGGTTGCATGGTGCTGGGCATCACGTAGTAAAACACCTGGGGACTTCCCCCTGCAGCCATCAGCCCGGGGAATGAACCTCCTGCCAGGGTTATCTGAGCACCTTCTCCTTCTATAACTCCTTGAATCTGTTTAAGGATGTGTCCGCTGCTGCTGATCTGTGTAAGCTGCTCTTGTTTGACCGGCGTAGATGGAGCAGTTGTTAACATGATACCTTGTTTAGCTTTCTGGTTCATGTTCTGAAGAGCAGTGGCAACACTAGGCGGGAGCTGAATCTGAGCCGGGTTTAGCGGAGCTGCAAATATTTGGGGTTCGGGGGCCATTCCCAGTTGGTTCTTCGGAACCGGTTCGGTGGGAAGAGAAAATGTTATAGTTGCCAGGTTTGAATGCTGTGCCGGAGCAGAAACCGTGATAGTTTTCGTCGGAGACATTCCTGCAACAGTAATAGTTCGCGTCGGAGACATCACCGTTATATGATTAGCACTAGACGTCTGGTTTGGACTAGTTGCAGAGTTAGGGGACTCAGGATCCTGGTCCAGGTGGTTGTGGGTTGCTTGATGCTTCTTCAGCTCACGTTTATCTCTGTATCCGCGGCTACAAACTGAACAGACGAACGGTTTTTCTCCGGTATGGATCCGTACATGGGTGATATACCGCTCCCTACGCAGAAATCCTTTTCCACAGGTTCCACATCTATTAAAGAATAAATATTATTAAATTTGCTTAAGGATGTATCATATAGCTGAATTTTTACAAAAATATCTAATAAATGAATAAATCTGTGTCTTACTTGTACGGAAGGTCTCCCGTATGTCTCCTGGAGTGACGGTTTAGTTCGCTACGATCCCGGAAACTTTTGTCACACATGGTGCACTGGAACGGTCTTTCTCCTAAACAGATATATTTATTACAGGACTAAGAAAGCTGAGTAGAAGAATAACAGGGGAATCCCTATACATTTGTCTTATTTTCAAACAATGAAGTAAAGAGTACAGAACAGTTGAAAAAAAATATACTTAATATCTTCAACATTTCTTAAACATAGATCCATTATTATATCCATCTTTAATATTAGATTTCAACGTTCTAAAGTTACAACAGGCTTGCCAAATAATGCATGAAAAATTTACTAGAACTGAATATTTTGAGCTTGAACATTCAATGAGTTAAAGGGACTGTAAGCGTATTTTTAAGCGACCGTTCATGTAATTACAATCCCGGATTCACAACGATACCCTTAAAAGATTGAATGATAAAGTATGAATTATATATCAATGTTTAAAATTTTAAAAATTTATTTCTCTTAACTGTGATTTTCTAAAAAAAAATAGCCACAGATAAAAACTTTTAATTTAAGAAGCAATGGAGAAACTCACAGAAATAAACACTTAAGAGTCAAAGACAACAATATTGTCCACATTGTTAACTAGAAAAATGTTTTAAGGGTATTGCGGTGATTCGGGCGTTGCCCTGTTTCCATGTAGAGTTACTTTGAAACTAGGCTTATAGTTCCTTTAGAAAATACAGAAAACATTAAACTTAATTGAATTCATAGATTTAATTTTTAACAAGACTAAAAATGGACGTTTTGAAAAATCAATCCTTCTGAAACCGAAAATGATCTATTTATTACTTTATACTAAACGAACCTGAGTGCCAGCGAAGATGAGTCATGTAGCGTTCATGTCTCATAAACCCTTTATCACAGTCGCTGCATCTAAAGGGGAAGTCGCCGGTGTGTCGACGTTGATGTCGAACCAGTTCATACCGGTCACGAAACTGTTTCTGGCAGTACTCGCAAGTATACCTGAACAAAGTATTTATTAAGANATAAATAAGGTACGTTAAAAGGGGCAATATTTGTTCGAAAGAAAATAAAACAGAAGATAATTGTTCCGAAATTCCGCGGAGGATTTCTTCTGACAATTGATGTCATGACTCTTAATGAAGGGTTTCTGAACTGACCAGGGGGGGACAACTTAACAACAGGTTTAAGATAAAAGTATTGTATTAAACATATTTACTGAACTAGATAAATATGGAGTTCACTAAAATAATTACATTGGACAAGATTTATCGAAACAATTATTTGAACAATTTATTGAACTTACCTTTTTGTATCTTTATGTATCCTAGTATGCTTGGTCAGGTGTTCACGTTTAGCAAACCCTTTGTTGCAGATGTCACAGATAAAGGATTTAGTGAGAACAGCAGCACTCTTGATGGGAGTGTTGACCTCGTTCTTAATGACGGCCGCCGCCTGACTCAACGCATCCCCTTCTCCCTTCACCACGGCCTGGGTGACTGCAGTGGTCACCTAGAAAATTTAAAAATAAGGAAAAGGATCATATCAATTTTGAAAAGAAAGCTCAGAGCAAATCGTGTAAATAAAATTATTATATGTTAATAAAAAATTAAATGATATTCAACCTGAATAGGTATTCTGTTCCCTTCTGCATCTCTTTCCCACATAGTGTGGGGATAGTTAACGAACAAGTTGCTGTTCGGTAGCGTCCCAGACATCCCTATCAGCTGCAGGGTGTCAGCGTTCAGCTGGAAGCTTGTGCTTGTACCGCCTGACACGGCGGTAACCGGGACGATAGTCTCCGCCCCTGAGTTGGAGCTGGAAACCACGGTCTTTTGGGCGATAGCCACGGGAGTACCATCCCGGGCAGTGTAATATTGAACTGTTTGAGAAACGGGGACAGACATTGTATGGATAGAGTTAGGTATCTGAGCTAAATCAACTAAACAGAAAAATTGAATTTCAATAATTTAATTATGGTAAATTATCTGAATAAATGGTATTGCTAAAAAAGAATCGATTTGAAAATTAATTAAAAAATTAAATAAAAGGCAATATGAAATCTAAATTTTAATGTTATATAAAAAAAAATACAATTTCGTTGTTGCATAAACTTTAAACCATTTTTTCGTGAAATGTGACTGAATTACATAGATTGTTAAAAATACAATTAATCACCTGTTGAAGGCTCCATGCCAAGAGGTTAGTGCATCATGAGGAACTGCGTGGTTTACAGTTCCCAATGTAGATCTGGAGAAACAGGTTGCTGAACCTAACCCACTTATCTTGGATCTGGGCCCGGAGTACGCAGATAATTTGATTTATCCATCCTGAAAATTTTCAATAAAAAAATTAAGAAAAAATAACAACAAAACAATCGCGCAATATTGACATAATAATACTCTACCTAAAGACCTTATTTCAGCCCAGAACATATATGGTGCAATTTCATTAGGCGAGTAATTGGATTAAAATTTATTTATTCTACAAATCGATGAAAAAATGTTAACAAAGTTCTTTAGAGGTAAAACACTGAAGATAAGAAGTAATAAAAAGCAGACCGTCAATATAATGATAACACTACATTTCATGGTAATGTTACATCGTCTATACGCAACATCCACTTACTGAACTTCTGACCTACTAACTTTCCGACAAACTGCAATATCGGACCTACGCTAGCTGTTTATTTTTGTATTATTTGAGGGTTTGGTTAGGTTAAGACAGTTTCTGAGCAGAGCGCTGCGGCTGGGACAGGCTAGTGGGCCGAGCGCTGCGGCCACAAGTCCATTTAGCAGCTGTAAACCCACGTGCTAGTAGGTCGGATGTATAGTATAGCGGATTTGGCGTAAGTCAGTAGTGGAGTATAGCGGATTTGCGTAGGTCGAAAGATACACCATCGCATTTCATTTACACTAAAGGTTAATGTGTACAATCCGTGTACGCAGAAGTTGTACAAAGGTCACAGTGTTTGATAAAAACAGATTATGAAGTTAATTCCCGGTAACTATAAAGAGAATTTTTAACCC